AGGGCGGCGGGGCCGCGAAGTAGGGCGGCGGGGCCGCAGGAGCAGGGCGGCGAGGCCGCCAAGTAGGGTGGCGGGGCCGCGAAGTAGGGCGGCGGTGCGGAGATAACTACTACAGCGGGAGCTAGACTACTGGTTAGGCACGTGTGCTCGTGTGATCTCTGCGTTCGTTGGTCCTTAGGCGTTTTCCTAGTGCTCACACTGCTTGCTAGTTCACGGGGCAATTTGGCAAGAGTTTCACTAAGAAAAGATGACAACAATGGTACAATCAAGTTGGCATGGCAAGACTACATCAGAGCTAGCATTCAGGTTGGTCGACTGCCACCACAGCATGGTCGACCGCGTTCCAGCACGACTTGGTCGGCCGCGCTCCAGCAGTGCAAAGTCGACAGCGTGCCACTGCAGGTTGACGGCGTGCCAGTGTTGCTCCCGTAGAACAGCAGCGCACCTACTTTGCAGGTGCTCGTTGATGATTGGAGGGCTAAGCCTTGTCACCTGAACAGCGCACGCACCAAGTCATCTTCGTGCTGACGGCTCCACCTGATCCGCCACGTCGACCTCGGGATACCACCACCGAGGTCGGACTTGCCAACGTTGCCTGGGCGACCGTCGCACTCCTTCGCAGAACCTCGTCACCCAGGTATCCTGGTCGACCGGGCAACTATGTCGACCAGCTGCTCCTGTATATGCTCGTCGACCTCCCAAGTCGACAACCATACCAAGTCGACCTCACCAGGTCGACCACTCCTCTGGTCGACCAGCTCCAGATCGACGTCACTCCTGGTCAACCAGTGCAGTTGTCAGCCGACCACCCAAGTCGGCTACCCAAAGTCGGCGTCACCAGGTCGACGCCCCTTCTACGTCGGCGCCGACTTCCAGGCTGACCTCTTGAAGTCGGCGACCTCCCAAGTCGGCGCCGACTTGCAAAGTCGGTGACCTTGCAAGTCGGTGACCATGCAAGTCGGTGACCATGCAAGTCGGTGACCATGCAAGTCGGTGACCATGCAAGTCGGTGACATGGCAAGTCGGTGACCTGGCAAGTCGGTGACCTGGCAAGTCGGTGACCTGGCAAGTCGGTGACCTGGCAAGTCGGCGCCGACTTCCAGGTCGACGTGCCACATCGCCGACCACCAGTTGAAGTCGGCCGCCGGCTTCCCAAGTCGACGGCATTGCAGTGGCGCCGTGCAAGTCGACCAACCCCGTCGACCAGCTCGTCCAAGTCGGCGTCGCCCACTACTGCAAGTCGGCTGTACCTTCCGTACACCCCACCACGAAGTCGGCTCCGCCCAAGCGTGGACGGGGCCAACACACAACTCCCGTTGACAGGCGGGGCCGCGACGTAGGGCGGCGGGGCCGCATGAGTAGGGCAGCGGGGCCGCAACGTAGGACGGCGGGGCCGCAGGAGTAGGGCGGCGGGGCCGCGAAGTAGGGCGGCGGGGCCGCGAATGCCGGCGGCGGGGCCACGCGAACGGGTGGCGGGGCTGCACGAACGGGCGGCGGGGCTGCTAAGGGAGGGAGGGCCGCTAGGGCGTAGGGGGGGGCGCTAGGGCGGCTCGACGAGGTGAGAGCCCGGGGCGCGACTCGGGAGGAGCGCGCTTCAGGCAGGATAAAAAAAAATTCTCGATGTGGTGGGCCCTAGGCACAGTTCCCACGGGGGAACCTGCTCGATACCATGAGGAAAGTAGAACGAGAATGGATTGACTAAGGAATGGAAGTGATACAAATATGCAACCCTAGAAATGCGTACCCCATATGGGCTACCCCACTATAGCCTACTCAATATTATAACTTGACAAGCAGTTTATACGACAGAGCTCGTCACCGTTCGCCGCACCGATACTGTTCACACCGAAAAAAGACAGAGGGTTTCGCATGTGTATCGATTACCGAGCGCTTAAGAGGGTAACAGTCAAATCGCGGTACCCCATTCCCCGCGCCGACGAACTGATCGACCAACTGCGAACAGCACGAATATTTTCGAAAATAGACTTACGGGGGGGTTACCATCAGATTCGGGTCGAAACGTCGGACTGCGCCAAGACAGCATTTCGGACTAGGTACGGGTCGTTCGAGTACACGGTGATGCCTTTCGGGCTAACCAACGCGCCCGCAACATTTCAGATGACCATGAACAAGGCGTTTAGGCCACTCTTAGATAAATGCATGATAGTTTACCTCGACTATATCCTCGTTTACAGTCGCGACAAGCAGCAGCACTTGGTCAATCTCGAAGCAGTGTTTAAAATTTTAGAGGAACATCGGTTACTCACCAAGGGCTCTAAGCGCGAGTTTTTTTGGGACAGGCTAGAATTTTTAGGGCACGTTATTTCGGAGGCTGGAGTTGAAATCGACCCCAAGAAGCTGGATACAGTCAAAGCGTGGCATCCCCCGACGAACATCACGGAACTGCAGAGTTTTTTAGGGTTCGTTAATTATGTTCGTCGGTTCAACCCCGACATGGCACGATCAACCACCGCGCTGACGGATTTACTACGCAAGGGGGTCGTTTTTACGTGGGGGGAGAAAGAGCATGCTGCCTTCTCTGCCCTGAAAAATGTTCTCTGTTCACCACCCGTCCTACGCATCGCTGACCCACACCGCCCCTTGAAAGTTGTTACAGACGCAAGCGGCATCGCCATTGGAGCCGTACTGTTACAGGACTTCGGCAACCGCCTACAGCCCATCGCATACGAATCACGAAAACTGCATCCGCCCGAACGAAATTACCCGATACACGACCGCGAAATGCTCGCGATCGTGCATGCGTTCAAAGTGTGGTGCTGCTACTTGACCGGCGCAGACGTGACAGTACGGACAGACCACCGATCTCTACAGTACCTCCGCGCACAGCCCCACCTCAACCCACGACAGATTCGGTGGCTCGATTTCCTCGAGTGAAACTTCCACTACACAGTCACATATAAAAAGGGAGCCTCGAACATCGCCGACGCACTGACCCGCCCCACTGCCCAGATCCATGCGATACTACTCGCCCAGACCAGCCCGCTACTAACAGGACTATTTACCCACGGATATCAAACGGACCCATTCTTCACTGGAGGAAATTTGCAGCAATTCGCAACAACCAAGGGAGTCTATTACGTTAAAGCTGGGACCGAACGCATCTGGGTACCAGGGTACACACTGCTACGGGAATTACTGTTACAGGAGGCACACGACGGAGTTACCTCGGGACATTTCGGAGCAGAGAAAACACGGCAGCAGCTGCAGCAGTATTATTACTGGCCCGAAATGTTGACCGACGTGCAGCGACACGTGGCATCGTGTCCCACTTGCCAGATCATGAAGGCAACCCGGAAGCGGCCGTCGGGACAGTTGCAACCAATCCCACCTCCAGAGCGTGCTTGGCAGCAGGTGACGATGGACTTCGTCACGGGGTTACCGGCCGGGGCGAGTGGGAATGACGCGATCCTGGTCGTCGTCGATCGACTGACGAAAATGGCACACTTCGCAGCCTGCAAGAAATCAATCACAGCCGAAGAAATAGCCCGCCTCTTCATCTCTACCGTCGTTCGACTGCACGGGATACCAGCATCAATCATCAGCGAAAGAGATACGAAGTTTACTAGCAACTTATGGCGGAACCTGTGGCAGCAGTTCGGCACGCGACTACAGTTTAGTTCATTGTATCACTCCGAAACCGACGGACAGACAGAACGGACAAATCAGACCATGGAACAGCTCATTAGGGCCATGTGCGACGACCCAAACACGTGGGAACAGCAACTGCCACTCATCGAATTCACATACAACAACGCCCCATCCGCCACGACCCAACAGTCACCATTTTACCTAAATTACGGACAAGACCCAACAGTACCCATGACCCCGAATCCTGACAACCCAGTCCCACGCGCACAACAGTTCGCCGAAATTTTGCAAGCAGCACGGACTAGAGCAGCAGACGCAATAAAAAAATCAAACATCATCGCTAAACGCAACGCTGACCGCCACCGCAGACTTCTCACTTACCAGCCAAACGACCTAGTTTTACTCGACACTCAGAACCTCCGCCTGCCCATCACCCCCAAACTCCGCCCTCGATACTGTGGGCCATTTCGAATTAGCCATATGATAACGCCTGTCACCGTGCACCTCCTCCTCCCTGCTGACTGGTACGTCAGCCCCTCGTTCCACGTCAGCCTGCTTCGCCCCTACGTCCCATCCACAAGCCAACTCCCACGCAATCGCCCAGCCAGCATGGCACGACCACCAACCGAACCAATCATTACCCCCGACAAAATCCTGAGCCACAGAGTTCGTGACCCTCGAGGAGCCCGAAAGATTGAGTTCCTGATCCGCTGGAAAGACCGTACACCCACCGAAGACAATTGGGTTCCCTTGGACAGAATCGAAAACCACCCTGTTCTCACCGAATATCTGCGCAGCCGGAACTTCAGGGACGTCCACGCACTTTCATAAGGAGGACCTCCTTAGGAGGGGGGGTAGTGTAAGGAAAATCACTTTTCCTTACTTCGCATCCCTGCTCAACGCGTACATCACTGTAGCACCACAGTCAGCACCGTTACCACTCGCGATCCTCGCATCGACAATCAACCCGCCATTTTCGCACATCGCACCCCGACCTCACGACTCGGCTGGTAACCCGCGCTCCGGGCCTCCGCTTCGACACTTTCCCAACCTCAGTCCCAGGCCCGTCGCGCGACAACCACAATCCATTACCGTTACCACTGTAGTTTCGCTATATATTCTTCGCTCATGCCTTCGCTCATTGTATTCTTGCTTCGATAGTGCAATTCTCGTTCGTTCACTCAATCGCACTCGTAACACATTGTAAGGGCCAGATTGTACAGGCTAAGATGCACTGATCTACAGGTGAATTGGCATTAAGGTGTACATGCAATACAACTAAAGCATAAATGCTTGCATTCATCGCAAGTAGTACAGCACTTACATGTACCTAGCACAAATGCCATCAGAGGCCCACAAACCTAAGGCTCAAACCGAGAACCAAGCAAGCCTCACAAAATCGCCATGCTCGATGCATCGTTGGATGTGAGAACATGGTATATCCTGTGTGACATTACAGGGCCCATACGCTCCACTCGCCTCATCCCAGCAACACCACCGCCACCTTGACTCCCTCTCACTGCCACATCAGCATCACCAGTGGCATTGTCGCCAGCATCATCATCACATGCATCATTAGCAGTGCCGACTGTTGTGGTGTTGTTTCCAAGCTGTATTTTGACCATCTTGGAAAGCAGAAGCTGCTTGTCTCGCTCCTGTGAGTAGAGGTGGGGGGGGGGGGGACATGGCGAGATGCACAAGTAGAGGGGAAGTGGCGAGTCACCACCAGCATCATCATCCCATGCATCAACACCAGAGGTGATAGTTGTGGCGTCACTTCCCAACTGTATTTTAACCTTGCAAAAAAAAAAGCTGCTTGTCTCTCTCCTGTGAGTAGTGTAGTAGGGAAGTGGTGAGATGCACAAGCAGGGGAGGGGGGAAGTGGTGACGGGCACGACTTAAGTTGACTTGAAGCAAGGAGCACACTCATCTTTGCCAGGAGGCTGGAGCAGTAGAGGGAGGGTGGCTAGTGCATGGGGGGATGGTTACAGTGGATAATTTCAAGTTGACTCACAGCAAAGAGTACATGTTGTACGTGTATAGAGGGGGTGGGTGCAAGCAGGTAAGTTCAAATTGACTCAGAGCCAGAAGCGTGCTCATTTGTGTGTTTTTCTCACCGGGATGTTGGAGCAGTAGACGGAGAGCAGCGAGTGCATGGAGGGATACATGCGGGCGATGGTGTGTTCTGAGTTGCCTTGGATCAGCCAGCGCACTCAACTCACCGGGATGTTGGAGCAGTAGACGGAGAGCAGAGAGTGCATGGAGGGATACATGCGGGTGGGATTATGTTGACTTGGAGCAAAGATTGCGCTGAGTTGTGTGTTAGACTCACCGGGAGGTTGGAGCGGTAGACGGAGAGCAGCGAGTGCATGGAGGGATACATGCGGGTGATGGTCATGGCGTCTCTCGCTGACACCCCTGGGATGGCCATCAGCATGCTCGCCCTGGGGGACGGGGGGTGGAGATAGGTGGCTGACACTCCTGGGATGGCCAGACAGATTGGGAGGTGGCATAATGGGCTGAAATACCAGGAGAGTGGCTGAAAAGAGCATTGTTTCTTCCCTTCCTCCCCTTCCCTCCCTACCTCTCCTCCACCCTTCTCACCCGCCTGTCCCTTCCCCCTTGGTCGATCACCATGTCCCTTCTCTATGCCCCTCCCCTCATGCCTTCTGAGAATTCTCAAAAAACATCCCCTCATGCCCCTCCCTCCCTCCCCCTAACACCCTGGCCACGCACCATGTGTTGCGGCGGGCGGCATGGAAGAAGGGGTCCTTGGGGTTGGCAGCTCCGCAGTTCTGCACTATGTGCAGGCGGCTGAAAGCAGGCCTGGGGGGGAGAGGTAGAGGAGCCGGAAAGGGGTGTGGAGGGGTTGAGAGGAAGGAAGCGAGTAGCGGGTGAGGGGACCTTGGGGTTGGCAGCCCCGCCAGTTCTGCACTATGTGTAGGCGGCTGAGCGCAGGCCTGGGGGGGGAGAGAATCAAAGGGGGTGGAGAAGGGGGGCTTAGAAGATGAGATTAAGGCAAGATTGGCCCTTACAGTGGGCAGGGGTTGGCAGCCCCCCCGCAGTTTTGCACTATGTGCAGGCGGGCTGAGCGCAGGCCTGTATGGAGATAATTGTGGGGATGACGAAGGAAGGTTGGGGGGGGAGGGTGCACAAAGGTAGCGGGCGGCATACAAGACAGGGTCCTCCTTGGGGTTGGCCGCCCCGCAGATCTGCACTATGTGCAGGCGGGCGGCTGAGCGCAGGCCTGGAGGGAAGAGAGGGGGAGAGGGCGAGGGGGAAGGAGAATGGTGCACGGGGCTGCGGGGGTGTGTTTGAGGGATAGTTGGGGTTGGCTGCCCTGCGGCTGCAGTTCTGCACTATGTGGGAATGAATGGATAAGCTTTGGCCTGAGTGATAATACCTACAACCCTGCTTGGCTTGGATCTCAGATGGCACCTGCCTGTGCGCACCCCGCCTGCCCGCATCTCACCTGGCCAGATTTCGCCTACCTCATCCCACCTGACCGCACCCCACCTGATCACACCCCCCCTGACCACACCCCCTCTGACCGCACCCCACCTGATCGACCCCGGACCACAACCCCCTTGACCGTACCGCACCTGTACATCTTCTCGGCGTGTGCTCGGTGCATGGCGGCCACGTGCTCTGCCATCACCCACTCGTCGCTGCACACACGCACTCCCACGCGCGCAAAGTGCGTTGCTAGCCGCGCCAGCGCCTGGGGGACGGGGGTTTGAGGGGTAGGGGTGGGGGGAGAGAAGAGGTAAGGCATGGGGGAGAGGCGGAGAGGGGGGGTATGGTTGAAAAGCAGCAGGAGGAAGGAGATTTAGGGAGGGTGTGGCTTAAGGAGATTTAGCAGGGCAGAGGTGTCGGCAAGGCTGGCGAGGAGAGGCGAGGTGAGAAGAGGAGAGGAGATGCGAGACGAACGGCGAGGCGAGAGGCGAGACACAAGGAAAGGAAACACAAAAGCTTCCTTGTGTGAATACACAAGGAAACACTGAGAAAAATACACAAAAGCACCTCACTCATGCACCTACCCCCAACCAAACATGCACCTCTCTCCCCCCCCACCCATGCACCTCGCTGCTCTCACTTGCTCCACAGCAGGCTCCTTCCATGTCTCCTTGCCTCTCTGAGCGCGCTGCTCCCTCTGCTTCAGGTACCGTCCCAGCCCACACACGAGCAGCACCACCCTCCCCTCGCTCCTCCCTTCCTTCAAAGCCTCTCCAGTTCCATTTGGGTCTCGCTGCTGCTGGGAATGATGGTGCTGATGGTGCTGCTGCTGGTGCTGGTGCTGGTGGTGCTGGTTTTGGTGATGGTGATGATGATGGTGATTCTGCTGCTGCTGTTGTTGTTGCTGTTGCTGCTGCTGCTGCTGGGCTGTCGTTGGCGGCGTGGACAGGTGTTGCTGTCGGTCTAAGGCATGGAGCAGAGGCGAGATCACGTGAGCCTCCCACCAGAGCACGCCTCTCTGAAGCAGATCCACCAGGCACTCCCCGCCCATCACCACCACCATGCCTGCCGCCCACTGCTGCCGAATGCACAGCTGAATGACAGAGAAAGAGAGGGAGAGGGAGAGGAGGGAGAGAGCAAAGTAGAGAAATAGAGGGACAATGGTGGCACACGGCAGGAGGATGATGTGCCGGGCGGGGAGTGCCTAGTGATGCGAGGGCACAGAGTGAAGAAATCAAGAACCTGAAAGAACCTGATAGAACCTGAAAGAACCTGAAAGCACCGGACTGTGACAGCAAGTATTGCTCTCACGGTCTTACCTGAGCCCTGCCAAGACTTCTCTGGTATGGCTGTGCCCCTCCACTCCCTTCCCTCGCTGCCCCTCCCTGCCTGCTTCCATAGGCGGCAGCAAAATCACTAGCAGTGGCAAAAGCAGCAGCTGCTGCGGAAGCAGAGGAGGCAGCAGCAGCCGCGGCAGCGGTGGTCAACGGTTGAGCAGCAGCAGAAGCAGAGAAAGCAGGAGGAGCAGCAGCAGGAGGAGGAGGAGCAGCCGGAGCGATGGAAGCAGAAGGGGCAGCAGGAGGAGGCAGCAAGCGGGGAACGCTGAGAAGCCAGAGCAGAGAGGCAGGCACGGGGTTACGAGTGATGGTGAAGGGATATCTGCGATCGGAGAGAGTGCGCTCTAACGCTGCTGCACTCGGAAAGAAACGGGAGGCAGGGGGGGTGAGGGGAAGAGGGAGGGGACTTTTGAGATGTCTGAGAAGCCAGAGCAGAGAGGCAGGCACGGGGTTGCGATCGGAGAGAGTGCGCTCTAACGCTGCTGCACTCGGGAAGAAACGGGAGGCAGGGGGGGTGAGGGGAAGAGGGAGGGGACTTTTGAGATGTCTGAGAAGCCAGAGCAGAGACGCAGGCACGGGGTTACGAGTGATGGTGAAGGGATATCCACGATCGGAGAGAGTGCGCTCTAACGCTACTGCACAGGGGGAGAAGTGGGGGGGGGCGGGGATTGGGGAGGGTGAGGGGAATAGGGAGCAGGAGTGGAAGCGGGAAAGTGAGGGGGAGTGGAAGGGGGAGAGGATGGGGAAAAGGGAAGGGGAAATGATGGAAAGAGGGGAAAATGGTGATCAGACGTCAAGAGGGACGCAGGGACGTCAGATTGGATGCAGGACGGGAAAGTAGGGAAGAGAGAGGATAGCAGGACAACGAGTACTGCTACACCAAAGTCGATGGAAAACTTGCAGAAACAAAACCAGAACCGTAACAAAAGAGAAGAGGAATAAAAAGAGGCATCTTTCTATGGTGCATGCACGTATCCATTCATGGATATACACACACAAACAACTTGTGAGGTGTCTCAGAAGCCATTCGTTCATAGAGCATGCATGCATGCACGCACACAGAGCGTCTTTGAGCATTCGGTTGTCGATGAGTGTGGTGGCCTTGCTCACAGCATCGCGGCCCTTCTCTCCCACCCCTCCACCTCCCTTTCTGACTCCCTTTTGAGGCGCTTCAAAAGGCATGCACGTACATAAAGCGTCTTTGGGCGTTCTGTCATCAATGAGTGTGGTGGCCTTGCTCACAGCATTGCGGCCCTTTTGGGGTTTTCCCGAAAGAAATGTCAAAATGCATGCATGCACGCACGTACCTAAAGCGTCTTTGGGCATTCGGTAACCAATGAGTGTGGTGGCCTTGCTCACGGCATCACGGCCCTTCGCCCACCCCTCCACCTCCCGGTTCGCCTCAATAGCCATTCATTCATAGAGCGTACATGCATGCATCCAAGCACGCACCTAAAGCGTCTTTGGGCATTCTGTCATCAATAAGTGTGGTGGCCTTGCTCACAGCATCGCGGCCCTTCTCCCACCCCTCCACCTCCCAGACCGCCCCCCTCCTCTCCTGCACCTCTCTCTGTGCCCTCTCCTTGCCCAACCTTTCTTCCTGCACTCACCGAGGGAAATGATGAGGACGCAAAAGGAGAAGATGGAATATGGAGAAAGCAAACAGGGCGCACGAAGGGAGTAGGGGCATGTAGCGGCGGGGGTAGAGGGATGAGATGAGGAGAGACAGATAATCATGTTTAAGTAGACGACTTTTGAGACGTCTCAAGAGACAGATAATCATGTTCCGTTACAACCTATGGGCAGACACAGAGAGGTGGGTGCCATTTCCATCATTTCCATCATTTCCATCATTTCCATTATTTCCATTATTTCCATGCATGTGCTGTAATTCCATGCTTCGAGCATGTGCTGCAACATATAGTTGGAAAATAACAACATGCTTTGAATTGAAGCTAAACACCACAGCATGTTACGACAGGCGGCAGTTTTACATGAGTACCTACCTGCTTCTTCCTCTTCTTCTCTTCGGCCAGCGCAGCCTTTTCCTGCTTCTTCCTCTCCCTCTCTGCTTCCCGCTTCCCTCGCTCCATCTCTTTCCTTCTCATGCTCTCACTCTCTGCCGCGCCCTTATCGGCGCCACTGCTGCTGCCATTCCTCCCTCTCCGGCCGCCTTTCTGAGCCACCCCCAAATTGCTTTCTTCTCTGCCACTCCTGCCAGCCCCACTCCTGCCATCAATACCAGGTACAGCATTCAACCCCTCACAACCCTCCAAAATCGCCCCTTCCTCCCATCGTGGCAAATTGTTTCTTCCTCTCCACCCACCTGCACCGCTCTCCATCCCCCCTTCTGTATTCCCCTCAAGCCCTGCTGCTCTTCCTTCTCCACAATCACTCACTCCTACCCTCCCCTCCTCCCCTCCCCTTCTCTCCTCTCCACCCCTCCACTCCTCACCTCCCCACCAATCCTCACTATCCCTACATGCCACATCATATCTCCCCTCAACATCTTCCCCCAACGTCACGCCATCTCGCAACTCGTCCATCCACGGAGGGCTCTTCCCCCCTGTTCTTCCACACGCCTCAGGCTGCTGCACCGTGCTTGCTCCTCCTCCCATTTGAGGCGACTCAAAAACCGTCACGCCATCTCGCAACTCGTCCACCCACAGAGGGCTCTCCCCCCCTGTTCTTCCACACACCTCAAACCGTTGCATTGTGCTTGCTCCTCCTCCCCTGCTCCCTCCCATGCTCCCTCCCCTGCTTGCTCCCCTGCTCTCGAATAACACAGCACAGTCAGACGATTCGCTTCCACCACTGCTGCTGCTGCTGCTGGCACTACTGCTGCTTCTGCTGCTGCGTCTGCTACTCCTGCTGCTGCTCCCACTGCTGCTGCTGAGTGTCAACCCCTGACTACCAACCCACGGTCTCTCATCCACTTTATCTCCACAGCCGCTCCTCTTCTCCCCCTCCTTCTTTTCTCTGCTCTCTCTTCTGTCTTGCCATTCTTGACTGCCTTGACTGTCTTGACTGCCTTGACTGTCTTGACTGCCTTGACTGTCTTGACTGCCTCGACTGCCTTGACTGCTCGCACTGCTGCTGATCTCATAAACACGCCCTGCACCACCCCCAGCACTGCCCGCCCCTTGAAGTACCGCCTCCCCTAAAGCGCCTTGAATGCCTTGACTACCTTGACTGCCTTGACTGTCTTGACTGTCTTGACTGTCTTGACTGTCTTGTCTGAAAGTGTCGTTTAATATCACCTCCCTCACATGCCCTGAATTTCCAGGAGGAGGAGGATCGGCAGGAGCAGCAGCAGGAGGAGCAGCAGCAGGAACAGGAGGAAGTGCAGTAGGAGGAGCAGCAGGAGGGGTGATAAGAGGACGGCGAGGATGGATGGGGATAGTGGCACGGGTGACATGGATGGTTGGCAGCTGGGAAGAGTATGGAGCAGATGAAATTGCAGCAGCGGCAGCAGCAGCAGTGACAGCGGCAACAGCAGCAGCGGCAGTAGCAGTGGCGACAGTAACAGCAGGAGCCCCAGTAGCGTCAGAGGCAGCAGTAGCAGCAGCATTAGCAGAGGAGGGTTTTTGTAATCGGCCCCATAGATTGGCTGCTAGCTCGCTGTTCTCTCTCTCTGCTCGCTTCAGCGGAGTTCCCAACAATCCCCCCGCTTCCTCTTCACATTGTTCCGGCTGCTGTTGCTGCTGTTGCTTCTCCTGCTGCTGCTCCTGCTGCCGCTGAGTCGTGCCATTTCTCCATTCGCGCACCCTGTCAAGATCCACGTCACCCAAACCACTCATTGCATCTGGACAATCCAAGCCACCACTCAGCTTCCCCGCGTCGAATCCGCGCCCCTCTAATCGTCTCCGTTTCTGCCTCCCCACTTCCTCTCCCACTCTCACTCCCACTCCCGCTCCCACCACCAACACGTCATCCTCCGCCGTCAATCGCCGAGCAATCGGACGGTCACGATTGCTTCCATCCGCCGTGGGATCCAACTCGGTGGGGCGCGGCGGCGGCAAAGGAGAGCCGTCAATTTCGTCCAGATCGATGGGCTCAAGCGTCCACGAACGAGGCTCGACGACGCGCGCTGCTGCTGCTGCTTCCAACGGACGGATCGTCGTTTCCGCTCCTCCGTTGTGATTTCCCTGTCCCGCCTCCCTCCTCCCATTCTGCGTGAAACTATTTTCCCGCTGCTTCTCCCCGTCCTGCCTGACACTCTCTCGCTGCCTCCTCTCTTCCTGTCTGAACGCACGTTGGTTCGAAGCAACGGCGACGGGACGATGCGACGCTAGCGAAATTCCGTTGTTCGTTACCGGCCGTGAGGAGTCATCGTCACTATCGGAATCCAGCACAATGGCGGGAAAAGCGGACATGGTCAACCCACGGCGGTGAATCCGCTTTCCCTCAAGAACCAATGTGACGGGTTGCAGAGCGAAGTTGGAGGCAAGAGAATATCAAGGATTCATTGTATACCATCCCCCGTTACGAAAGTGAAACAAAAAAACAATCTGAATTTGAAGTTGTTTATTTAGGCTGGAATCTCCTTTCTGAAAATCCTTGTTCAATGATTGCCACAAAATCAAACTAGTCACATGTCATCATTCACAATCACCCTTTCTACTACCAGACTAAGCAGAAGTACCTCGTCCTAACCAAGCCAATCATTTATTTTCCACCACCTAAGATGCCCTAGTGCACAGTAAGAATAGCATCTTCCTACACTTGGCAACTAGTAACCAGCCCTACTCTCTTTATCACTGTCCTCTTCGTCACTGTCATCGTCACATGCCAGCCGCCAGCACCAACACCACGCATGCTACATCTTCTGCTGGTGCAGCAGCAGCAGCAGCAGCAGCAGCAGCAGCAGCAGCGCCCCTTAGTGAACTGAGCCAGCCAGAGAGCCATTGAGGGACGAGGCAGGGGAGGCGGAGCCGGTACGGTGGCGGGAGCTGCCCGGCTGGAGCACCTTCACCTTGTGGTTGAGGTCGCTCACAATCTTGGACATGCTCGGACGGAACTCGGGCTCCGGCTGTAAAGGGGTTGGGGTTTGGGGGTTTGAGGGGGAGAGGGAGGAAGGGGGGAGTGGTGACTTGTGGGACACGACTTCACTGGGTGGTTGCAACAAACAGCACACAGGACATGGCATACACATGTCCCTCGTACCTGGATGCAGCGGGTGATGACTTCAGCAAAGGCAGCGAGCCTGGCAGCGTCGGGCAGCGGGCCGGCAATCTTGGAGTCGAGAATGGACTCGAGCTCCTGCGGGTTGTGCAGCAGAGGCGCCGCCCACCGCACCAGGGAGGACTCAGGCTTGGGCTTGGAGCTGTGCAGAGAGGCGAGGGAGCAGAAAGAGAAGGAGATCAGGGGTAAATTTGAGCACATGTTGGACCCATGTAGCATGGAGCAGAGGTAGAGGTTTCAAGTGGAATGGCAGAATTGGCAGGAAAAGGGGGGGGTTAGGGGGGGGGGGGGGGGAGGGGGGGGGGGGATGTTGGTGTGCACAAATGCCATTAGTAACACAGAGCAGCATCAGCAGCACATACGGGTCAACGGGCTTGCGGCCTGTGAGGAGCTCGAGCAGCACAACACCAAAGCTGTAGACGTCGCTCTTGGCCGTGTAGATGCCCGACATGGCATACTCGGGCGCGTTGTATGCAAAGCCGCCCACCAGCTGGTCTGACAGTGACTGCGGGAATTCGAGGGGACAGGGGAAGGGGGAGGGGGGAGGCAGGAAAAGGGGGTTTAGGAAGGAGGCCAGCGCAAGCAATGCACAGCACAGCCAAGACAGCTGAATGTAGGTCAAGCAGCAACAACAGCAGCATAGAGTGCTATCCCTCCTCCCTCCCCCCCCCCTTGTTCCCAATCCCGTCTCACCTTGTCGTCAGCGCCCACAGGGTTGAGGAAGGAGAGGCCAGCGCCAGCAACGCGCGCCTTGAGGCGCTTGTCGAGCAGGATGTTGCGCGATGAGATGTTGCGATGGATGATGGACGGCACACACTCCTCGTGCAGGTAGCTGCGGAGGGGGGGGGGGAAGGGGACAGCGGCGAACGAAGAGGGGGAGGAGTGGGGAAAGGGGGTGATGAGGCATGTTGCATGAAGAAAAGTCTCATGATACAATCAATGGGGAGAGTGGGACAAGTTGGAACCTCGCAGAACAATCAACGCAACAGAACCCAACCCACAACAACGCATTTTGGCGCCAGTCAACTCACACAAGCGCGCGCGCCGTGGCGATCGCGATGTCGATGCGCACAGCCCACGTCATGTGCTGCGACGGCTCCGCAGCACCCGGCACCTTGCTGTTCCCGTGCAGCTGATCGAACAGCGACCCGTGCGGGTAGTGCTCGAACACGAGAACCCGCTCCCCGTAATCCACGCAGTAGCCCTGAAGCTGCACGACATTCGGGTGCTTCAACCGCGCCATGTTCGACGCGACGGCGACGAAATCGTCGTCCGATTGGCCCTCGACGACGCTCGGCTCGACGCGCTTCACGGCGATCTCCTGCCCGCTGGGCAGCGTCCCGACGAACGTCGTTCCGAGCGGGTCGGAGTTCACGCTGCGCTCCGAGGAGAAGTTATCCGTTGCCATTTGGACCTCTGCGAGGGTGAGGACGACGACGCCTGGCACGCGGCGCGTGGATCCGCCGGGGGTGTTGCTGCCGTGCCCGCCCGCGGCGGCGGCGGCAGCGGCGGCGAGGGATGCGGAGGCTGCGCCGTGTGGTGGATGGGCCCGCGCGGAGTTGTTGGACCATGCTGGAGAGGGTGCGGGGGAAGGGGGAGCGGGCGGGGGAGGGGAACGGGAGTGCGGAAGAGGTTGGGGGAGGGGAAAGGAAGAGAGAGGAGATTTGGGAAAAGAGAAACGGGGAAAGGCGAAAGGGGAGGAGAAGCGCAAGGAAAAAGCGGGGTGGTTACACGAAACAGGAGACGGAGGGAGGAGAGTCTGGTCTAGTCGAGGGCTAACAGACGATCGTCTAAGACTGCGAGGCGCGGGCTTTAACATGTGAAAGGCAGCACACGGGCTTTAACGTGCGACTCGACTCACATTGCATGTGCATCGGCGGCTTCCCCCCCGCGGAGTGGACATGATGCGCAGCGGACGACGCGGTGACCACCGACGTGGCCGACACGCGCTTGCTCGAGCCGCCCTTCTTGCTGCTGCTCTTCTTGCTTCCGCCGGAGCGGCGCGGGCGGCAGCGCACGAGAACGACGACGAGGAAGATGAGCGCCACGACCAGCACCGTGCCGACAATCACGCCCGCGATCGCCGCTGCGGACCATCCGCCGCTGCCCTCCTCAGGGGCTGCCTGGTCGGGGGTAGTTTGATTCGTGGCTGGGGGAAGGGGAGGGGGTGCACAGGGGAGCGCGCGGGAAAGGTGACTCACGGTCACCGCTGCGGACCACCGCCACTACTCTCCTCAGGGGCTGCCTGGAAAAGGGTAGTCTGATTCGTGGCTGGAAGAAAGGGGAGGGGAGGGAAGAGGAGTTGAAGAGCGGGGGACCGGGTGCGCGGCGGGGGGGGGGGGGGGGGGGGGGGGGGGGGGGGGGGTTGGGGTTGGGGGAACAGGGGGATTGGGAACCAGGAAGAAGGACCACGCGGAAAAGACGGAGCGTGACCAACCCAAGCCAAGCGAACCCAAAGTAACCACCGAACGAACACGACCAGCGGCACTCACGCGCAGGGAGCAGCAGCTCCGAGGGCGGCTCGACGAGCGTGACTTCGACGAAGCCGAATCCGCTGAGCGAGAGCTGGTTGTTGCGCAGCAGCGCGAGCACGCGCTCCACGACCGCCGGCTGCAGCGTCGTCATGGGCGCCTCGGGGCCCAGCGCGAGATCCGCCACGACGCTGCCGGGCCGCGACGAGAGCAGGCGCACCTGGCCGTAGTTCACGATCAGGTCGTCCGCCAACTGCATCTCCAGGTCCTGCGGGGAAACAGGGGGGAGCGCGGGGGGTGGGGGGGGGGGGAGGGGGGGGGGGAGGGGGAGCGGCGGGGGGGGGGGGGGGGGGGGGGGGGGAGGTGCAAGGAACGGGGAAGACGGGGGATAATGAGTGGCGAGACTAGGGCAGGCGCACCTGGCCGCAATTGACGAGAGCAGGCGCACGAGGGGGGAGGGGGAGTGGGGAGGAGCAAGGAAGGTACGGGGGGAAAGAAAAGTGATCATGGGACCTCGCGTCACCCTCCCGATTCTCAACTCACCCGCTGCTTCTTCTCGTCGAAGTTGGCGTAGTTCATGCTCATGTGCAGGCGGAAGCGCAGCGGGTACACGCACACGCACGCGGACGCGTTGCTGCTCAGCTTCGGGTTCGCGCTCGTGCTGTCGTCAGCCATCGGCCGCCACGCCACCTGGTTCAGATTGCACGTGTCGCACTCCGTTACCGGCGCCGGCGGAAGCTCTGGCGTGGACGGCAGAGACGGCTCCGCGATGGGGGGAACCGGCGTAACAACCGGAGGGGTGACCACGGGGGGCCTTACGACCGGCGGCTTGACGACGGGAGGCGTAACGATGGGGGGCTTTACGACAGGGGGCTTGATAACGGGTGGCTTAATAACGGGCGGCTTGATAACGGGCGGCTTAATAACGGGCGGCTTGACGACGGGGGGTTTCACCACGGGCGGGCGGACGACGGGCGGAGGGAGGGACCCTGGCGCGGAAGGCTGCTCGGTGGGATCGGGGAGCGGAGCGACTCCACCGGGAAGCGGCTTCACAACGGGCTTAGTTGGGGGCTTGACTGCGGGCTCGGAAGCGGGGGCTTCGGAAGGAGGTGCGGCGGGGCTAGGTTCGGAAGAAGGCGCGGCAGCGGAAGCGGGGGCTTCGGAAGGAGGTGCGGCGGGGCTAGGTTCGGAAGAAGGCGCGGCGGCGGAACCGGGGGCGTCACCCTTTCCATGCTTGCCGCGTTTGCCGTGCTTGCGGCCCTTCTTTCCCCCCTTCTTTCTTCCACCCTTGCCGCCTTTGCCGCCCTCGAGTTTAGGGTTCCCCTTGACCTTGAGTTTTTGGATGTTCTGGTAAGTAGCCGGCACGGTGCCAACGAAGTTATTCTTGCTGACGTCGACGGCTTCAATGTTGGGCAACGCGCCGATGCTCTCCGGAAGTGTGCCGTTGAATTTGTTGTCCGCGAGCGACCTGTAACCACAGCAACATACATGGCATGCGAAAATACGTGATTAGCCAGTCAAGAACGGCAGGGTGCAATTTTGCGAATTCAATCATCGACGCCGGTACATTAAAACAGACCAAGCAGAGAAACGAAAGAGTTTCGTTACAGCAAGGTGTGCGACAGGGCATGGGTGGCGAAATGGGATCAGGAACTCACATGTGCGTGAGCGATTTGAGGCCCGAAAAGTCCAGCGGAAGGGGTCCACGGAAGGAATTGCCCGCCAAGCCACTGTCAGGGGAAAAGTGGGAGGGAAGGGGGAAAGAGGGGGAACGAGAGTTTGAGGGCGCAAGCGGAAACGGTGGCTTGCGACGAGCCGTTATATCCCTACGCACTGTGGATGACGAAATGGTAAAATTTCGTTACCATCAGCGTTACTTTACAAGAAAAAATACATATGAACAGCAGCTTACATGTATATGATCTTGTCATGTCCAAGTAGGGACTCCGGAAAGGGGCCCTTGAAGTCATTCTTGGAGAGTTCACTGGCGTAAAGGCAGGTAGGGTAAGGGGGTCGGGTGTGCGTGAGGAAATTAATGCGAAGCGGGCGTCCAATATAACAGAAAATATCAATATTGGAACAAATATCTGAGAAATGCCGAGCTATATGAGAAGGAAACGTCTTGATTGTTTCTCAATCTTGATGAGACGGCAAGATATGCCAGAGCTGATTGAATGGAACTTCTTACACATATTTCAGGTTGGTCGAGAGCGTGGTGTCGGGAAACGGACCAGTGAACTTATTCAGACGCACGTCACTGGAAGCAAGAGGAAAAGAAAGGGGAGACAAGGAACGTGGATGAGAAGAAAAGTGCAGAACACGGCGAGGCGAAAGGTACACGTGAGGGGGAAGAGAGTAGGTCGGCGAACAAGCAGACACAACGAGGAGGCGCAAATCAAAACGGCGCGAGGCACAGCGGCGAAAGGTACAACCCATTTCGAGCAGCAGCACAAACAGTAGTAGCAGTAGGGGAGTGAGGCGGCTCACATGTGTTCAAGAAACTTGAGCGTGCCGATCTCCTTGGGCAACTCGCCCGCGAACTGGTTGTCCTGCAGATTGCTGTGTAGCAGGGAGAAAGGGGAAGGGGTATGGAGATCGGCAGGAGGGAGCGGTAAGGGGTGAGTAAGGACGGAGGCAAGAAGAGCATAGAGCGAAGGTGGTGAAGGCAGTCAACGGAAAGGGGCCTTGACGTGGTGAAACCCGAAACACGGGAAGAGGGGAATGGAACAACGGATGGTGCGACTGCGGCACGGTGCAGAAACGACATGCGAGGTGGTGCGGGTATGGTATGGAGGGTGAAACGCCGATCGCATATGAAACAGGGCGTCTGCAGGTGCAGCGAATGCCGCGGTACGCACAGAATCTGGAGGAAGGGCAGCCACGCAATGTGCTTCGACAGCAAGCCCTTCACCCCGAGAGACTCCAGGTTGCTGCAGTCACACACGAGAGTACAAGTGGAAGGCAACGAGAAAGAGAGCGGATAAGAGCATGAGAGACAGAGAATTAGAATGAGGAGACGATGGAAGGATACATCAATAGAAAAGTAACATGGTTGGCGGGGTAAAGGCTGACAGTTTATAGCGATGGATACGAGAAATGCAGGCTATCATCACGCACCCACGTGTCATGTTACTATGCGCACTCACGCGCACCCACGCTATCCATGGCACTCACATGCCGACGACATGCTGCGGCACGGTTGTGGAGCAGATGATCCCCATCCACTTGTCGTCGCACGCGTCGCCCTTCCAGCTGGCGAACAGCGTCGCAGGACTCATAAACGCCTTCATGCCCAGCAGAGCCGCATCTAAGGGTGCGCCAGAGCAGGCACCATCGGGGGGTGGGAAGGGAGCGGGGAGATTGCGGGGATGGAAGAGGGGAAGAGAGTGGGAGGGGAGAGGCGGACAGAGGAGGGGTGTTGAATCGGCCGTGGAAAGTTGGCGGGCCCGGGAATGGAAATGCAGTGAAACAACAACTTGGCTTCAGGTGACTGACGACTAAGAAAGCACCACGTAGCACAGCAACGAGCCCGCCCTTAGACCCTATGCCATCGGAAATTTCTAGTTATCTCAGAGTAGGACAACGGTAATACGGCGACGGTAGCATGGTTCTGGTCAGTTTCGTTTCGACTACTAAGTTGTTGACTCTCGCTCGCGACAGAGAAAGACGCTTAGATGCTGCAGACAAGCGAAGTCTGTTAGATTACGCTGGAGACCCTCGCAGACCCTTCCTTTCAAACCGCTGCTTGCGGTTCTGCCCGGCGGCATTCATCACTAACAAACCAGGAGACCGCTTTCCGTATGGATGTTGGGATTCAGTCGCCTGGAAAGCGGAGAACTGTTGTGTGCGCTGCGCGCGGCACTTACTCTCTGTTGGAGTGGTGGCGGCTTCAACCCGCCCAGTCAGACCCCATATGCCGCTGCTAACACACAGCGCCGCGAGTAAGAAGAGGTTGCGCATCGACGCGCATTGCAATGCCATGGCTTTGTCGCCAGAACCGCACAAACGGCCGGCTCTTAAATATCGACCTAGCATAGACGGGTTTGCCACAAGGAGGCCCGAGGCTTGAACGAGTTAGTTACAGCGGCGCGTGCTTCGCGAGCCTGTTCTAAATCGAGGGAGTTAGTATGAGCCCTAACTGCACGCTAAGTTAGGGTGGTGGTGATTAGTTGAAAGTGACATGAGAAGGCATAAGGCCGAGGCGAGAAGTTATGGTGGATAGTGGATCGCCGAGAGACAAAAGCGACGAGCATAGATGGGTTTGTTCACCGGCAGTAGGGGAGCATAGTCAAGGAATGGCACAAGCGCGCGATGCCGTGCGTTACGCACGCCTCGGGAGGAAGGGAGGGTGGATGGCTGGGGGCTGACGTGTGAATAGCTGGACACGCAAGCGGAGACTATTACGAGAGTTGGGCATAGGCATAGGAACGCGAAGTACGAAAAGGCTCATCCTAGTATGGGTGGGCTTGGATTGGGGAAAGTTTGAATGCGCTTCACCACGATGCGAGAAATTGTGCCACCGCTAGATGAGGTGGAATTGGGCAACGTGCAAAACCTGGCGGGAATTCTGCTCGAGTCGCGGAATTAGGAGGTTCGTGAGAGTGAAATTGCGACGCGGGTAATGGCCACATGCCCCGAACATCCGCCGCGGTGCCAAGCCAAAGGGAGGCTGGAAGGCTCGGGGGACATAGCTACTTGACCAGTGAGACGTGCCACATTTGCCTTCACGTTCGGCGCGCAAATGACGGTTCACCACAGCAGCTCTGGTTTGGAGGGCAACCGAACTGGCTGGGGAGGTGCGTTTTGGGTCAAACGTCTCGCCCGCACAGTCTCTTGAGAGGCTCGGCTCGGGTTTGAGAGCGCACGAAGCTGGTCGTTAGCCGCAAAAAGTTTCATGATCCTGTAGCGAATATCAGCATGCTCACAAGGACAACGTAGGATACGCTATGTATTAGTAGTCTCGTTAGCACGTGAATGTAAGATACCCGCAACAGTTTCACTAAGACGGACATATCATCGATATTTCAAACGCTCAAACAAGATCATATGGTCATGTTGATTGGTATACTACATTATTGAACCTTCACATGCTCCAACATCTTAATCTCCCCAGTCTATCCAAGGAATCCTCCTTCCGGCGTGAAAAAACTCGAACCACTCTTTCCAACTGCTCGCACCACTTAAAACCTAACCACCCACAACAGCTCCATCTTGGACTTGTGCGGTTTCCTAGACCAAGAACACACTCATCACATCACTCCCCCTTGAGGAAACACTGACCCAAAGTCATAGAAGCCTACCCTCCTGTCAGAATCCCAACCACTAGACCATTGGGATAAAAGGGCTTGTTAAGTAGCGGGTCAGTGCGCCCATAACCCCCCAGGCCAACGTGCCTGTAACCCTTCCCTAGGATCAATCGGGGATCACCAGTGGACCTCTGACACCCCCCCGCACTGGGATGCCCGAAGTGCATACACCGGGATTCGAACCCGAGACCTTCGCTCTGATACCATGTCAGAATCCCAACTACTAGACCATTGGGATAAAAGGGCTTGTTAAGCAGCGGGTCAGTGCGCCCATAACCCCCCAGGCCAACGTGCCTGTAACCCTTCCCTAGGATCAATCGGGGATCACCAGTGGACCTCTGACACCTCCCACAAAATATCACATTGTGAAAGCTTGCTTAGTCCATCTTGCAAAGGCAGCGTGCTTCATTCCAAGTGGGTAATACAACGTTCTCGTTCATAAATGACACACAATGGGGTGGGTGGTGGGAAAGTAAACTAGAAAAGTTGGAAATGAAGAACGTGGGTGAAGGCGACTGAACCCACGTCCCTCTTTTGTAGGCAAAAGAGGGGTGAGTAGCGTCGAGCCGCTACCTTTGCTTTGCTGGCCACGTCCTCGCTCTCACAATACGAAATTTGAAAAAGTGTTACACTTTTAAAAATTATAATATTGTGAAAGCTTGCTTAGTCCATCTTGCAAAGGCAGCGTGCTTCATTCCAAGTGGGTCTTCTGAGGCAAGTGCATTTTGGGTCGGCGGTGCCTCTCCAACGATTGCTGGTGCCGACCAGGCGACGGGGCTGCAGAGGTGTCCTGCAGCCGGGTGGAGAGGTCGATGAGTTGGTCTTGGGCGATGGTGACGTAGAGATCCTTCGCGCCGTCGCTGCGCCATCGCCCCATTCGTTTGAAGAGCCGGTCAGGGATGCCTAACGCCGCTGCTGCCGTTGCCGCGCCCTTGCGGAATGAGTGTGTCCCGATGTGTGTGGCGTCGAGCCCTGCCTTCTTGCACGCCTCGAGGCACCAGCTCCGAATGGTTGGGTATGAAGGCGATTTGTCGTGCGGCGAGGCCTGTGCCCTTTTGTTGAAAACCCGAATCAGTGGCCCGTGAGGCATGTTTGCAAGGCCTGCGATGCGAATGAACTCCCGTGTGCATCTCACTGCGCAGTAGGGCCCTGCTGACGCTGCGACCGGGATCCACGTGCCCTTGCCTTCTTGGTTCGTCTTAGAGTAGGGAATCAGTAGCCACATTGCCTCCCCTTCGAACTGAATGTCGTTCCATTGGAGGGAGATCAGGTCGGAGTAGCGCAGGAATGCCGCGAACATCAAGAGAGGTATCAAGCCTTTCTGATATTCCGCCGGCACTGTTGATTCCAGGAATGGTCGTGCCATGTTGTGCACTTGATGTAGTGACACGGGTTCCTTGGTCCTTGTTGGGCGTAGGCCATGTCGCTTAGCGAACTCTCGTACTTGCAGCGTGAACGGGCCGTTCGTTGGGGATGCCTCTCCGGTCATTCGATGGGCGAAGGCTACGGCAGAGCATGTGAGGTTGATCGCTGACGTTGTTGCCTTGTTGTTCAACGCATGGACTAGGTAGAGTGCCAGCGTGAGGTCCGTCGCTGGCAGAAAAGCTAGCTTGACTCGGGTGCAAAAGTTGCGAAATTTGAGCCAGTAAGGCTGGTATGTCTCGATCGTAGACGGTGCGCGAACATCATTTATAACTTGTAACAGTTGGTTTTGAAGCTGGGTCAATAATCCTGAAAGAATTAACACTCGAATATTAGTCACGTATGATATTTTACATGCAAGGCAATTATTGGGCTATGGGGTAGGCCTAGTCCGGAAAATGCTGTTGCATGCGAACCAGGTCGAAGGCACTGGCTGCCTTGAGCGAGTGGCAAGCATGCGATCACTTCTGGGGCCCATGTCTCTGGGGAGGGTTGTAGCAACGGCCACCATGCTGCTCCCGGCCACTTGGGGACGACGAGTGTCAACTCGGCTTGTGTGCGCCTGGCGTGAGAGAGTGTGGCTGGGATCAAGCCGGGGGGCGGAAAGGTGAAGCACCGCTCGCCTTTCCACGAGATCGAGAACGCGTCAATTGCTGTGGCACTTGGGTGCGGTATCTTGGAGCAGAATCGTTGCAGCCTCCTGTTGCTAATGTTCGCGAAAAGGTCGATCGTATGGGGGCCCCATCGACGTTCCAGTAGGCGAAACCATGGCATGTGCAGCGAGTAGTCGTCATGGTCTTGGAGTTTTGACAGTTCGTCCGCGTGGGCGTTGAGCTTCCTTGGGATCCATTCGATTGCCAGTCGTGTATGGTTCTTGAGGCAAAACTGTATGACTGCTTGACAAGTCAGTGTGAGCCGAGGTTGACTGGACCCCCCTTTGCGCAAGATAAACATGACTCGTTGGTTGTCCACGCGAACCAAAACGTGGCCGCCTGTGAGATGGGACGCAAATGTCTGTAGCGCCCAGAGGACACCCTCGAGCTCCCTTTGAGTGCTTGAGGTTGGGAGGAGCTCGCTCGGCATGCTGGCGCTTGCTTCGTACGACGCGTCGGTAAACTTGGTGAGGGTGGCGCCCCAGCTGTGAGCGCTCGCGTCGACGTGGATCACAGCATCGAATTGATGGCTTAGGTGAAATGGGGCACCGTTAAACTGGTCGAAGTGCAGTTGCCAGAAGATTAGCTCCTCGATGGCGGCCCGTGTCAGCCCGATCCTTGAGTTCCAGGATGCCGCTGTCTCGATCAATTGTAGCAGCTCGTGGCTGAAGGCGCGTGCTGTTGTGCCCAATGCGAGGGACATAGAGCTCAACATTCCGGTGATACGAGCGACTTCCCGAATTGGGACTTGCTGGCCGCGTTGCCCCTTGGAGATGAGTGTGTGCAGCTTGTCGAGGAACTGCGCTCGCCGATCGGAGCCGATGCTAAACATGCCGCATGTCGTGTCCAGCTCCATCCCCAGAAATCGTGTTTGATGGGCCGGCTGGAGGCGTGATTTCTTTTCGTTGATCACGAAACCTGCCGCCCCCAGGTCTCGGAGAACCTCTGTGCATGTCTTGCGTGCGTGCTCCGCCGAGTCGCAGAGGAATAGCAGGTCGTCCACATATGGGACTACGCGCACGCCCCGTGCCCGCCAGCGTTTGGCCAATTGCTTGATCAACTGGGTGAAGACGAAAGGTGCTGTCGCCAGTCCAAACGGCAAGGCTCGGAAGCAGTAGAACTCGCCTTCGAATTGGAAGCCTAGGAACTTCCAGCACGAAGGGTGCATCTCGACATGGTGGTAGCCCGATTTTAGGTCAATGGTGAACAGCCAGTCGTTGCGTCGAATGATCTCCAAAACGCGATTCAGGCCCTCGTATTTGAATTTAGTGACTTGGAGGTGTTGGTTGACCTTGCGTAGGTCGAGGATGAGGCGACATTTGTCGCGTTGTTCTACCACGTTGAGTGGGCTCACGCACGAGAGCGCAGTCCGCGAGGCGACCTTGGTTGCCGCGCCCGATGTGATTAAGTCGCGAATGGCCTCACGAGTGAACGTGGTGTGTGCATGAACACCCGCGTGGTTTGTGGTTTCGAAGGGTGGCGGTTCTGTAGTTTTCCAAGGCAGCCAATATCCCCTGGCAATAATAGAGATGATAAAACTGTTGTCGCACCACGATATCCACCAATGCAGTTGGTTACGCAATCGGTTGCGCATGACCTTCACTGTGTCATCTGTGACCGCGTTCTCGTATGGGTCCCATTCCGCCTCTCGCCACTTGTCGTCCGCTACTGCACGTGGGGCAACCGGGGTGTGGTGTATTGGGTGATTAGCCTTTGCCCATAGGACCAGCCCGGGGGCTTATGCATACTCGGTGCTACGCCTTCCGTCTCTCCTTGTATCCTCCCTCCTCTAGTCTTCCTTTCTCCATGTTTCTTGCTCTCACTCTCTTTCTCTCTCTCTCTCTCTCTCTCTCTCTCTCTCTCTCACTCTCTCTCGCTCTCACTCTCTCGCTCTCGCTCTCTCTCTCTCTCGCTCTTGCTCTCTCTCGCTCTCTCTCGCTCTCTTTCCCTCCCTCTCCCTCTCTCTCTCTCTTTCTCTCTCTCCCTTTCTCTTCCTTGCGTTCTCTCTCTCTCTCTCGCTCGCTCTCTCGTTCTCTTGCTCACTCCTCTTCCGATCTTTCCATTTGCTCTTCTTCTCGAACTCTGCCCCGTATTCGCACGTTTTCCTTCCATCTCGTTTTCTTCCTCTTTCCTTCGTACTCTTCCCTTCAAGTCAGGGGGGCGCTTGGGCTGGAATGGCTGCCTTGGCTTTACTTCCTTCTCTCCCACTTTGTTTGGTTGCATGTGTGGGTGTTTTTTTTTTTTTTTTTTTTTTTGAAAACCAGAGGCAAACTTTTATTACCACACATGGGTACATAGCATGTACTGCCCCCATAGCTACCCTTATGGCTAGGGATTTCTAAGGCCTCCAGCCCATACTCCCTGCTAGCTACCAGCCATGCACCCTCGGTGCTCCACCTACGCCCCCCGGCATAGTGGCAAGGGGCTCCGCCCCGTGTGCCTCCTCACACGACGGGTGAGGGGCCTTGAGCGCCCCGCCCTCCCATAGGGCAAGCATTTGCCATATGGCCGGGCTGGCCGCATCGGAAGCACACCCCTTTGAAGCGGGGCTCGTGGCAGCTTGCGAGAGGCATGCCCTTGCCTTCCGTGTCGCCATCTCGGGTAGGCATGCGATTACCGCGAGTGTAGCCGGCGCGTGCACGCTTGAGAGCCGCCACATCCGCAACGGCGAGCTTGTAAGAGCGGGAGGTTAACACGCTCTTGGACTGGTATAGCTGAAAACGATCGGCAGCCTCGAACCCCGCCTCATCCGCCACCAAGAGGAATTCGAAGCGCTTGTGGATGAGCGTTTCGATTTCCGCAACGTTGGCGAGTGCGCTTTCGATGTCGCCGTGCTGGAGCTTGAAATTGACGTGCTTCAGGTGTGCCTGGATAGCAGAGAAAACCTCCGCCTGATCGCGCACGCCCTTGCGCATGAAGGTGGTAGGTGCGGGTGTGGGGTTGAGGGGTGGAAGAGAAGGTGCTGGTGCAATAACGCGACGACGGGTGATGTTATTGGGGGCCTCACCATCATCGTTGTCTGAGTCGTCGCTGTCGGCTTGAGCGGCGATTGGTGCCGGTACGGGAGCGGGAAGAGGTGCGGCAGTGGTCTCGTTGACGCGAGCAGCCTTGTTTGCGCGGGGAGCGTTGACTTCTTTCTGATTTTCGATTTTTGCAGGTGCAGAATTATAGTCGGAAGAAGTTGCGATTGTTACTGGGGCTTGCTGCTGTAACATCGAAAGCAGTGCCTGCATCTGCTGCGCAGTGAGGGACGCGAGGGGGTTGACTGGGGCGGCTTCTGCTGGGGTCGCTGCCTTCTGTCGCTTCTGCAGGGTGGGCCCCGGCTGACCAGCGTCGCCGTCCGCGTCAGCCGGCGTTGACTTGACTGGCGCGCGCGGCTGCCTGGCGGCCACACGCTCGTCAGCAGGAGGCACGCGCGACTGTTTCACAGCCGCGCGTGCTTCTTCGGAGGGGGCTCGAGAGTTGCTCCCGAGCAACACTTCGACTCCTGAAGTGCCCTCGCCGAAATTGTCTTCGGCAGGGCGTTTTCCGCGGCGGTCGGTTGCCCCGGGCGCGTTCGCGTGCTCCGAAGCGTTTCCGGGGTTGTTGGTCTTTTCCGCCTCTCGATTAAGTACAGTGTTGGCGGGAGCCATATTCGCCAGGTTGTGTTGGAGAATGTCTGTGAGAAGGGTCGACGGGGACTTGAACCTCGGGAGAGATTGCGTCTTCGCCAGGATGAACGAGAACTAGGAAAGTAAACTAGAAAAGTTGGAAATGAAGAACGTGGGTGAAGGCGACTGAACCCACGTCCCTCTTTTGTAGGCAAAAGAGGGGTGAGTAGCGTCGAGCCGCTACCTTTGCTTTGCTGGCCACGTCCTCGCTTTCACAATACGAAATTTGAAAAAGTGTTACACTTTTAAAAATTATAATATCAGGACCATGACCCTGATGCAATACCATGACACATCCACCATCAACATTACCCATCCAAGGAGGAGTATGAGTGTCATCAAGGCATGGCGCATTTCAAATCTTGCTTGGCATCACGTGCTCTTTTCTTTCTTTTTTGTCAGTCATACCATACCCCAGGTGGAAGCTTCCCTAATTCCCTAGATCATACGAATCGTCTCAAAGGCTGTAGTCGCCGCTACAGATGCAACACATGGAGCTGTAGCAGCAGGTACAACAGCAAGAGCTGTCTGTCACTGCCACCGCATCGCATCGCATCCCCTCGCATCTCACCACACTCCATGGCACCGCATCGCACCGCACCGCACACATGCGCTTCAGAACTCTGTGTTGTAATCCTTGGACGAAAACGGCAGGCCCAGGCGCGTGAGCCACTTCTTATACGCCCCTGACAGAGAAAACCACGTCCCTTCCTCCTCCTCATCCGCACCCCCCATCACCTCTCCACACTCCTTGCAACACCTTCCTTCCCACCCATCACCACCAGCATCTCCACTTCCCGACCCTGCTAGCCCCCCATCCAACCGCCCATACACCCCCCCACCTGCTACACCTGCTCCTCTTCCTTCCCCCTTTCCTCCTCCAGTTCCCCCACCATCCCCGCCTTCTCCCCGTCCTTCTCCCTTTCCTCCTCCTCCCTTGCCTCCTCCTCCTCCCCCACTTCCGCCGCGCATTCTGCTCCACATGCCATACAACTGCTGCTGCTCAGCAGCAGGCATGGTCAGCACCAGCTCGTTGAAGCCAAACAACATAATAGCCCGCTCTTCTGAGTCTATTTCAACGCCGCACATGCGGAACCCCGGGTCTGCTGTTGGGAATGTCCCTGGCGCCGCGCCTCCTCCTGAAGGGGACGGCTCGAGCAGCGAGTGCGACGCGTGAAACCCTGCTGCTGGTGGTGATGCACCTGCTGCTGCTGCTGCTGCTGCTGCTGCTGCTACGCCTGCTGCTACGCCTGCTGCTGCTACGCCTGCTGCTGCTACGCCTGCTGCTGCTACACCTGCTGCTGCTATGTCTGCTGCTGCTCCTGCAGCTGCACTTTCCCCGAGGCCAATCCTGGCAGTTGCCGGGCCAAGAAGCGGAGAAATAGTCACGCCGCCACCACTGCTGCCGGAACGAGTGATGGCAGCAGCAGTTGCGGTGCGAGAGAGAGAATTCCAGGCACTAATGGAATCCATCCCAGGGGAGGAGGCCAAGCCAGAGAAAGAGAGTGCCACTGGCATGTGCGCGGATGGGGAGGAGGACGCGGTGATAGAGAGAGGCGGGGGCAGCGGAGCAAAGGAAACCGAGGAGGAGGAAGAGGTAGAGGCTGGGAAGGAGGCAGAGGAGGAGGAGAAGGAAGAGGAAGAGGGGGAGGAGGAGGAGTGGGGGCACCAGGGCGCGTGTGTGTTCCGGGGGGGTTTCACAGCGTTAGGGTTGGGCACGGTGTGGCAGGCGAGGGCCATGACTCGCAGCCAGAGGCGTGCAAAGGAGGCGCGCAGATCCGGGTTCACGACGAGACGCTTTGCCACTAGCGCTCCCATTGTGCCCAGCACTGCCACCTGCACTATGTGCAGCTCTGCGTCTGCTGCTACCGTTGCTGCTGCTGATGATGATGATGATGACGATGATGTTATCAGTCCTGCTACTGCCTTGGGCTTTCTTCCTTGATTCAAATCTGACTCATGCCCTTCGTACCCACGCTCTGCCCTCCCAGCATTGCTCACACCATCTCTCCCTCTCACTGCTCCCAATGCAGCAACTGTTCTCACTGCCTTCCCCGCTTCCTCTCCCTTCCCCTCTTTCTCTCCCTCCTGCCCTCCTACCACCCCATGCCCATCCCCCCCACCCTTCGCCCCCCTCCCCTCCTTCTCCCTCCGCCTCTTCGCCTCAAGCCGCCGAACCGCCCGCCGAGCCTCGGCCCGAGCCTCTCTCCACTGCTGCTGCTGCCGGCACCAATTCAGAACTTCCCCCACAAACTCATGATCTGTCGCCAACCACTTAAACACCTCGTCGGCCAGTCCATGCTCTAGCATCAAACCCACCAGCCACGTCAGCGACCCGTCCTTTCCATATACCGAATCAGGCAATGAAGGGGATGAGGGGGGTGGTGGGACGAGCATGGTAAGCCAGTCCCTCTCTTCCTCCCCAGCTCCTGGCAAGCCTGGCTCTCTCTCTGCCACCATTCCCACTTCTCCTCCTCCTCCTTTTCCCTTCCCTCCACCTACTCCTCCTGTGTCTCTGCCTGCCGACCCTCCCAGCCCTCCCCCTCCCCCTCCTCCTCCAATTTTCCCTCCCCTTTCCCCTCCTCCTCCTTTCTCTCCTCCCCCTTCTGCTCCTCCCCGACCTGCTGCACCCCCCAAGCTGGATTGAGAGCGAGGGGGGAAGAGCGACCGTGTGCGAGTTAACCCACGCCGACCTGGGTTCCCAACACTCCCACTCTCCGCCTCTCTTCCCTGCGACTTCCCCTTTCCCTCACTTCCCCTACCCTCTCCCTCTGCTCCTCCCACCCTTCCTCCCCGCTCTGTGCCCCCTGCCACGCCACCACCCCTGCCGCTCCCACTCCTGCTGCCGCTGCCACTGCCACTCTCGCTGCCGCTGCCGCTACCACCGCTGCTGCGGTTGAGGTCGGGAAACAAGTGATCAGCATGAAGAGAAACAGAATTTGGAAACTCCTGACTTCTCGCCTTCGCCGGATTCACGGATTCAGGGTTGAGCGACCTGGTTCGTCGCAGCGGGGCGGCAGCGCGCCGGGCGGCCTTTTTCGCCTGTTGCTGCGACCACACGGCTTGCAATAGATCCACAAACGCCTGCTTCAGCAGGGCTCGCTTGCTGCGGCGGCTCAGCATCGGCGCCGTGTTGTTACGCAGTAATGCAGTTACCGCGTCCCTGCACTCGCGCATGCCGCCCCCGGGGCAGATGCTTGGGATTGAGGAGGCTTGGGCGGTAGAGGCGGAGGAAGAGGAAGAGGGGAAGGGGGAGTGGGAGGAGTGGGGGTGCGAGGAGTGGGGAGGAACGTGAGAATGGGGGTGAGAAGCAGAAGCGGGAGGGAGGCCTCCTCGTGGCTTGGGGAGAGGGGGAGAGAAGGAAAACGAATGGCCTGCACTGCCAGCATTGCCAGCAGCAGCAGCAGCAGCAGCAGCAGCAGTGGCAGCAGCAGCAGTGGCAGCAGCAGCAGTGGCAGCAGCTAAGGTTGTGGATGGGAGATGATGGGCCATGGAGAGGGGTGACACAGGAGGCAAGTCATAGTTAAACCCGTGGGTTGAAGTAGAACCCGAGGAAAAAGAACGAGGCGAGGAGCAGGAGACAGCAAGAGCAGCAGCAGCTTCGGCGGCAGCCGCTGCTGCAGCAGCAGCGTCCTCTGGACTGACTGCTTCGTTACAAGATAAACCCCTCTGTAGAAGCACGCGAACCGCTGCTGTGACTGCTTCCTCCTCCAGGAGGTTTTTCACGGGCAGCCGGTCCAAAACTGGGCGGGCGTCGGGCAGCTGAAGGAACGACAGCAGCCGCACCACTCCCAATTGCTCCTCCTCGCTCCACGGCACGGATTCCAGAAAATCCACGCACGCTGACGTGGCGGCGTGGAATTGGAGGTCAGCAGCGGCGACGAGCATGTCGAGCACACGCCAGATGGATCCAACGGCCACGATTTCATCTAGAATGGTCGGCTCGTGATAGAAAAGACGGAGGGTGAAGACATAGGCTTCAGGATGGGCAACCAAGTCGCTCACTCTCACAGACACACGACCCAAGTGGGAGGGAGTGGAGGGGTGGGAGGAAGTGGGGGGGTGGGAGGGAGGGAGAGGGTGCGAGCGGGGGGTGGTGGAGGTGGAGGAAGACGAGGAGGAGGAGGGGGAAGGGAGAGGGTGGTTGGAGAAGGTGCCTCGCGGTTGGTGCTGTGGCAGGTGCTGCTGCTGCTGGTGCTGCTGGTGGGGGTGGTGGTGATGGTTGTGTGCAAGCAACTCTAACGACCTTCTACCCCCTCCTCCCCCGTCTCCTGGGAGGCTATCTTGCTGTTCCCAGGGGGGTCGAAGAGAGAGTGACGGAGAGGGCGGAAGCGGCGAGTGAGACGCTCCGCCTCCCCCTCCCCCTCCCCCTCCTCCTCCTCCTGCTGCGTTTCTGTGCGAGCTAGCAGCAGCCGCCGCAGCAGCAGCGGAGGCACCCTGAGCAGCGGTGGTGCCCGTTGCTCTGGTGGGGCGACGGGGCAGAGCAGAGAAGAAGAAATCCGATTGCTCTCGGAGCACCTGAGAGTGCATGGCGATAGAAGCGTGCAGGGATCCGTCACGCGCGAACACGTCCACGCGGATGTCTGACGTGGCAGGGTCGTCGAACACCAGCGCGTCGGTCAACGGCTGACGTGGCAGCACGACGACGGTTTCGCCCCCTTCCCCCCGGTACCACTCGCAAGCCGCCTCTGCCGTCTCCGCTGCTTCCACTCCTGCTCCGCCTCCTGCCCCCGCTCCGCGCTTCCCCCCCGCGCGCGCCTGAAGCCCTCCCGCCCCTGCCCCTCCCCCTCCCACTCCGCCTCCCCCTGCGGACGGCTTCCCCCCTGCCCCTGCGCGCAGGGCTCCGCGGACTCCCCCAAAAAATCCCCCGCTCCCCTCTCCAGCTCCGGCGGGGGAGTTTGCCCCCGTGGTTCCCCCACCGCCTCCTCCCCCGAAGCCGCTTCCCCCAGCACCCGCGCGCCCTAGGCTGGGGACCATGCTCATGCTTCTCCCCCATGGCTTTTCCCCCGCGTGCGCCCCCGCGCCTGTTCCCCCTTCCGCGCCATCTCCCCCAAACCCCAGACCGCGCATCCGCTCCAGGTCCAGCGACGCGGTGTGGCGGCCGCCGCGCACACCCGCTCCGCCCGCTCCGCGCGCACCCGCTACGCCGGCTCCACCGGGGAACGCGGAAGGCGGAAACGGGTGGCGAGATGGGGGCATAAGATCTAACCTGATGCGCTCGGCGGAAGTACCGCCGGGAGGCGCGGCGGAAGCGCCGCCGGAAAACACGGAGGGATGGCCGGAAGGGGGGGTGAAGGAGGAGGGGGAAGACGAGGCGGAGGACGAGGCGGAAGCGGAGGAAGAGGGGCGCGAGGAGCGCGCGTCGTGCGCCGGGGCCGGCGGAGCTCCGGCAGAAGGCGCGCGGAAATCCATGAGGATCGTCGCAGTTCCGCCAGCCCCCGCACCGTTGTCTCCCCCCGGCCTGTCGCTGAGCGCCGCGTCACCAGCGTTAGCGGGTTTCCCGCCGGTGGAACCGCTGTTTAAGATTCGCGACATAGAATACATGGCGCCTTGTGATTAGTTGGACGAGTCGCCCGAATCGCAGGAGGAGGAAAACAAGGACGGACAGCCTCAGTTCAAACTAGAAAAAACGTATACAATAGTCGGCCATCGTGCTGTGGTTGAGCTATCCCGCTTAGCGCGGAAGTCAGTAACGGATCAAGGCGTCGCTGCCGCGGCGCTTTCGGAGTAAAAACGCCGCCGCACGCCGCGTCATTACGGCGATCGGAACCAAATGCGCATGTCGCTTGAGCGGTACGGCCAGCGCTCCTTGCTGTTGAAACTGCGCAAACGCGATCCGTTCAGGGTTACGCCCGACAGCTGATGTTCGACGTTTACCGTCAGACGAATTTCAGCGCAATAGGGTTACGTGCTGCTGCAGCAGGATACAGAGCGGCAGCAGGGGCAGCGGCAGCGGCAGCGGCGAATAGAGAGAAACACGGACCGTTGTCTCTTGGGAGCAAAATAATAAAAACGCGTCGCCCCTTAGGCTGCGATGTCTCAGGTCGAAACGGACATAAATATTGCAACACGCACTGCAATGCCCGTGTCGATTAGAAGGCAGACTGCCTGCCACTGTAGCAGGATGCGGCAGGGATAACTACGGAGTAAGGAATAAGAAGGGCGGATTAGGTAAGGACTCGTCCCTCCAATTGATGTTGAGTATGGTTGGTTACGGTGCGCGATGGTTCGTTTAAACCACTCATCTGTGCGTCACCCTTTTCGACCGTGAAGAACCAGAATATATATATGTTTTGGCAGCTCTCACATTCGAGTGAAAGTGCCCCAGATAGATACGGTACCAAACGGTGCTGTGCGTCACGACAGGCGGAAATTGTACGGAATGGTCCCTCGGATGGTACTGTACACGCTACATTTGGGGATGGCTTCGGGGGGAAGGGAGGGTTCGGGGGAGGGGGAGGGGGAGTGGAGACGGCGGGGGAAGATGGCGTGGGCGGAAGAATAAAAAGGATGAGGTTGGGGCCGTGCGCATACTCGCTATGGAGCTTGACAACGAAGCAATTCGACAAAGAGAATGAGACAGAGCTGTGAACAAGAACCCCATACACTTAACATATCCACAGTATGTTGATCACACATAGTGTGAACTTAAAACCGGTCTAATACGCATGGTCAACTGCAATATATTTAACACAAATTTTATATACGCATATATCATTGACAGGTGGATTAGGGGTTTCTTCTACCTCCAGAGCGGATGAGAGCAAGCAGTTGGTCGGTGAGCAATGGCACCAAGCGGTCCCTGTTGCTGCGCGACACTTCCACTATAGCAACATCCGGACGGGCGCGGATAGCAGCCACTGCAAGGAGGGAGGGGGGCAGGTGGGAGCAACAAGCAGGAATTTACAGGGAAGTGGGAGGGGTACGTGGGTGGTGGGTGGGAGGGCAAGAGATTTTTGCTCCTGTACAGTGTCCACAAGTGTGCGTGCAAAGAAAAGGGGAGTCTGCATTGTAGGGTGTGAAAACCACAATGAAGCTGAAACAGCCATTTTCAGGCAAAGTAAGACCCATTTCGGCACAAGCCAAGGGGAACCAGGGATGGATGGATCAGGGAACTTGCAAGGCCTTGAGCGTGGCAGAAGGATGGTCCTCCTATTGGAACGATGGCTGATAAAGCAGGAGCTCGTCATTCTAAATAATCGCCTTTTCTTCGCCCTCAACGGATGGTCCTTCCATGTGACAGCACATGGCAAGCCACTCAATGAATTACCTCATCAGCCATGCCATAGCAGGCCTCTGCCACACGCTACATACTAATGGAAGCGCCTTGACAAACACCTCCCCCCCCAAGGCTGCTCCTGCGGCCCCTCATGACGCGATTTTCAAGGCGTGTCAGAAACAAAACAGCGGTGTGACATGCCAAGCCAGTCAGTCAAGATGTCATACCTTGGGGCAAGTCTTTCCCATGTGCGGGCACAGGGATGCAGGCGAGGAGAGAGGAGTTTTTAGTCGACTCAAAAGCCAGTCAAACATTGAATGCTACCTTGAGGCAAGTCTTTCCCGTGCGTGGGCACAGGGATGCAGGTGAGGAGAGGCAAGGGCGCATCCAGCAGGGCAGTGACGGCAGCAGCAAAGCGGGTGGATAGCAGCTCCATCTTCCCAATCTCATCCACCACCCACAACGTGCCACGTGGACTGCTACTGCTGCTGAAAGTGCCAGGAGATGTTGCTTCTGGTGGGCTTGCTGATGGGGACGATTCGGATTCTGATAGTGTTTGAGATTGTGGTTGTGATTGTGATTGTGGTTGGGATTGTGGCTGTACGGGTGGGGTAGTTGGCAGGGGTGGGACGAGTGAGGAGGAGGAGGAGGAGGAAGGCAGGGATGGCGGCAGCGCAGAGGCGAGGGAGAGCAGAGGCAGCACGTGCAGGTCAACAGACGCAACATCCACTGTATACTTTCCAACACGCCCCCATCTCCCACTCCCCCTGCACCTCCTGTCCTCTTCAGCTGCCGTGCTGGTATGGAGAGGAGAAGAGAAGTCTGATGGGAGAACGCGGGCGAGGGCCACTCGGGCGCCCTCCATTGTGACTATGTCGAAGCCAATGCGCTCACCGTCTCTACGCACTTCCTCTGGAGAGGGGCAGCAAGGGGTGTGTGGCGTGGAGAGAGGTTGGAATCGGGGTGTGTGCGTGCCGTGTGAGGTTGTACGGGGGTGTGGGAGGTATGTGGGGGGGTGTGTGGGGATGTAAGGGAGTGTGCAGGTGTGTGGGTTGCGTGCGGGTGAAAGTGGGTGTGTGTGTGCGTGTGGCTGTGTGTGTCCAATCTACCAGTGTAGAAGTGACTTGTAAGTCCCCAGCGTGGTGCGATAGAGAGGAATGGTATCGATGAGTCTTCCAGCTGTGAATCATTAAAAACTAACTACATCATGTATACGTTTATCACCTGTAGTGAACCCTCGGAGGACAAGAGAAGGAACGGCTTCTTTCACTCGCTCCATAACGCGTATGATCAGGGTAGTCTTCCCCACTCCCTGCGCACCAAATTCCTCCGAGTTACTGAGCAATGCACCCCCAAAAAAAACAAATATTCTTCCCACTGCAAGACGACGCGCATGCCACCGCACGCCACGTCATGCACACCGTGCCATGTCACGCCGCATCCATAAAACGAGGAGCCTCTAAGTCGGCAATGGCCTCCGGCTACCATGCGATAAGAAAGGCGACTTCTACTTACGGGTGGGCCTGTAACGAGGACATTCATTATAGCAAGCAGGAGGCGGATTGAACGGGAGGCGGGGTTGCGGCGGTGGCGGCGAAATTCACAAGTAGAATCCGCAAGAACTATCAAATGCACGCATTCTGGTTGGAAACGGAAACACGTAGACAAGCCAGATAATTTCGCTAAACACCACTGGCGATCTCGCATGTTACCAAGTGACATATCTTCGCTAATGCCGCAACGCCGCTTTGTCAGGTGCAGCGAAAACTTGAAACAAATGAAGAGAATCCAGTTCCGCTAAGGTTGCTAAGAATCGTTACAGATTAAAACATGAAGTTGGCTATTAAGAGGAGTATGCATGACATGAATGTGTTCAACAAACAATGAATGACTAGCCAGGTGCTGCTAGCTTGGTCAAGGGAAGAAACTGCTAACAGGTATTTAATTCAAAAGCTACTTACACTGGCGATAATTAAGTGGCTGTCAGTCCAAACGCGAAACCTCATCATAAACAGCATCAGAGCCATCAAAACCACCATTGCTACCAGTAGTACCATCGCCACCAGAAGCTGGAGCATCAGTAAGTGAAGGTCTACGTTCGCCTCCATCAGCAATCGCAGCAGCAGCAGTGGCAGTGGGAGCAGCAGTGGCAGTGGCACCGGCGGCAGCAGCGGCAGGAGCAGCAGGTGTGGAGGCATGAGGAGCGTGTTTCGTAGGAGAGGAGGCGGATTCAGACTTGGCAGAGAAGCCAGGAGGGCAGTAGATCTTGAGTGGATGCTCTGGAAAGAACAGCGTGTCTGTGGAAAGGCAGGAGACAGAGGCGGGGGGGAAGGAGAGGGGAGAGGAAGGGGGGTGGGAAGAGAGAGGGGGAAGGGAAAGAAGAGGGGGGGAGAGAGGAGTGGAAGGAAAGGAGCAGACGAGGGGAAGAAGGGAGGGAAAGTGCTTCAACGCGGGTTGATGAGTATTAGAAGTAAGATGAGGCGTTAATAGATAGGAAAAGGAGGGAGAAATCGGAAGAGGGAGGGGGAGTGGTGGTGTGGGGGGCAGGGGGGAGGGGGGGTGAGGGAGGGGGTTGGTGGCGTGGGTGGAATGAAATGAAAGGAAGGGGTTCTTAAAGAGACAGCACGGGAGAGGGTACCTCGTCGCTTGGTGGTGATGTGCAACGTGTCGAGGTTGATGAGTGCGTTGAGAGGGAAAGGGGGAGAAGAGAGGGGGAGGGGGAGGGGAGGGAGTGGAAGAGAAGAAGAGAAGGAAAAGGTACCTCGTCGCTTGGTGGTGATGTGCAGTGTGTCGAGGTTGATGAGTCCATCCACCAGTGGCACCAGCTCACAGCGCACCTCCGATGTGCCCAGCGCCGGCACCTTGCTGGCAGCGGTGCAGGCGGGGGGGGGGGGGGGGGGGGGGGGGGGGAAAGAGGAAGGGGATGAGACGGGTAGGAAGCACACAGGAAAGCGGTGAGAAGGGGGTGAGTTTCGATTGAGGCAGCTTAATGGCAGGCTCACATCGCACCTCCGATGTGCCCAGCGCCAGCACCTTGCTGGCAGCGGTGCAGGGGGGACGAAGGGGAGGCAAAGAGGAGAGGGGTTGAGTACTGAGGCGGCTTAGGGCGAGCTCACAGCCATGTGCCCAGAGCCGGCACCTTGCTGGCGGCGGCACAGGGGGCCGAAGGGGAGAGCAGAGAGGAGAGAGGTTGAGCATTGAGGGGGCTCAGGGCGAGCTCACAGCGCAGCCCCAATGTGCCCAGTGCCGGCACCTTGCTGGCGGCGGCACAGGAGGTGGAACGCGCACAAAGAGAGGGGCTGAGGGAGGGGCGGAAGGAGGGGAGGGATGGGTGCGAGGGGACAGTGCAGTTAGGGAGAAGGACCAAGGCGCATAACAAGAAACAGCAGAGGACAACGGGGTATGCAGCGCAAAGGGGAATGGCGAGGAATGAACACAGCTAGAAAACAATGGGGAAGGTAAGTTGTAATGAAGGAGAAATAGGGGGAAGGGGTGGGGGTGGTGGGGGGTGGACGAATGGTAGGGAGGGGAGTGGAAAAGGAAGAGTGAGAAGGCTCAGAAGAGTGAGAAGCGTCGGAACATGAAAGGACGTGAGGTTGTGAAGGAGGGCGAAGGGAGGCAAAGGGAGGCGAACGAAGGAGAAGGGAGGAGAAGGGAGGTGGAGGGAGGATAAGGGAGGTGGAGAGAGGAGAAGGGAGGTGGAGAGAGGAGAAGGGAGGTGGAGAGAGGAGAAGGGAGGTGGAGAGAGGAGAAGGGAGGAGAAGGCGGGTGAAAAGAGAAGGGAGGCGTAGGGAGGTGAAGCTGAACCCATGGGGACAACAGACTGCAGCCAGAGATGCGTCCTGTGAGGCACATGCATGGCCACCAGCTGTATTTCAGAGTCGACTAAGAAAAAAAAGACTCATCATACGGGGGGAAAGGAGGTGAGGGAGGTGTAACTGACCCCATGGGGACAACAGACTGCAGCCAGAGATGCGTCCTGTGAGGCACATGCATGGCCACCAGCTCCGCTGCCGACACACTCCTCTCCCCTCCCTCCCATCCCGCTCCCCCTCCTCCTGATCCTGAAGCCGAAACCGGCAGGTTCTGAGCAGCCTCGCCTATGCTGCCGCTGCTGCTGATGCCCTGGGGCTTGGTGGCTGAGGAGTCGGAGGTGAGCGAGGGGAGCGGCTTCGGGTGGAGGGAGCGGTTTCGGAGGAAATCGGGGAGAAGGAGCGATCTGGAGCCGTCAGGGGGATCCTGGAGGGAGAGGAAGAGGGGGGGTTGAGGGGAAAGGGGGATAGGAGAGGGGAAGGCGGTTTGTGGTTTTGAAGGAAGCCGAGGAGGAGAGATTTGGAGCCGTCAGGGAGGTCTTGGAAGGAGAGGAAGAGGGGATAAGTGAAGGAGAGGGGGGATAAATGAGGGAAAGTGGAGTGTGAGGAAAGCGGCTTGGGGTGGAGGGAGCGGCTTGAGGAAGAGAGGGAATGAGGGGAGAGGGGGATAGGAGAGGGGAAGGTGGTTTGTGGTTTAAACAGGCAAATCCGACCTAATTATCCTAAACCCTAGTATAACCACGCACCAGAGTGGCAGCAAGAGAAGAAGACTTGAACACTCGTAGCGGCGACATGGGAGGAGAAAGCCCCTCGTCGTCCTCACTCCCCTCCTCCCCGCCCTGCCCCTGCCCCTGCTGCGGCTGGTCCAGCAGCGAAGGGTCAGTGGTGGGATCGGCAGTGAGGAGATTGGAGGAGTGGCGCGGGGAGGTGGGGAAGCAGACGCGGGAGAGCGAGGTGGCAGCGAGAGTGGTGGGCGCGAGGAGCGTGAGGTTGAGGTCTGCGGCTGTGAGGTTGGTCACTCGCACCCGCACAGTCTGGAAGGGAAGAGAGGGAGGGCAGGAAGGGAAAGGAGGTGTTTTGTTTCTATGACTCAAAAGACCGACTCAAAAGACGGTGAGAATGAGGTTGAGGGTTTGTCTGACTGAGGCTGTGAGGTTGGTCACTCGCACTCGCACAGCCCGGATAGATTTTTGAGAATTCTCGAAAGTGTCTGGATGAGAGGGCAGGGGTGTAGGCAAGATGAACGCGGCATGAATCACAGTAAGAAAAGCAAGACGCATGCATGGAGTGTGGGCGGGAAGACAGGGCAAAAGGAGCTGACCAGCGGCCTTTGAGACTGCTCAACAGACGGTGGGGGAACAACGAGACTGACCAGAGGCCGGGAGCACTGGCCAGAAGCGGGCGGAGCAGCAACGAGCGTGCCATCAGGGAGAGTGTGCACATGCGAGGAGGAAGCAGCGGCAGCGGAGGATGAAGAGGAGGAGGCCGTGGTATCCGTGGAAGCAGGGACGAGGGAGGAGGAGGTAGAGGTAGAGGAAGAAGAGGAGGTGGAGGAGGAAGAGGAGATGTTGTCTGGGGAGATGGAGAGGAGCAGGTCCCGAGGGGGGCGCGGCCGCCATGCGAGAGGGTGGCGGTATCGCAGCTGGGCAGCTGGATGGAGGGGTGGGGTGTGGTGGAGTGGGATGGGTTGGGATGGGATGGGATGGGATGGGATGGGTTGGGATGGGATGGGATGAGATGGGATGGGATGGGATGGGATGGGATGGGATGGGATGGGATGGGATGGGATGGGATGGGATGGGATGGGATGGGATGGGATGGGATGGGATGGGATGGGATGGGATGGGGTGGGAGTGGGTGGACCAGAAGGTGCGATTGGGTTACGCGGAAGAAGAACAAGGGAAAGAGCATGTGTCTTGGTTAACCAAGTACTCTTGAAAAAACAACGGGCGAACGATGAGCAACGAGAGGTGAACGACGAGAGATGGGAGCGAGCACCCCATAAAAACGCGCCAGCTGCAATCCAGCCACACACACACACACACACACACACACACACACACACACACACACACACACACACACACACACACACACACACACACACACACACACACAAGCACCCAAACGCCCCAATGGCAAACCAGCCACACCTGTGTGTGAGCAGCTGCAGCTGATGATGAGTGAATACTCGGGAGAAGAATCCACCGGCATGTCCTCCCCCTCTGACTCCTCCTCCAAAACCGGAAAATTCTTCTCCGCCAACTGGGAGAACGGAAACTAGTCTTGACCCGACTCAGAAGACGCACCTGTGTGTGAACAGCTGCAGCTGATGATGAGTGAATACTCGGGAGACGAATTCACCGGCATGTCCTCCCCCTCCGACTCCTCCTCCAAAACCGCTGCCTTCTCATCCGATCGTCCAAACGAAAAAGGCATAACTTCTGAGTCGACTGAAAAGACGCACCTGTGTGTGAGCAGCTGCAGCTGATGATGAGTGAATATTCTGGCGAAGAATCCACCGGCATGTCCTCCCCCTCCGACTCCTCCTCCAAAACCGCTGCCTTCTCCGTCAACCGTCCGAACGAGAACGCTGCCGCAAGCGAGTTGCTCGAGCCCTCGTTCCCTCCTCCCGACAGTGGGCCCCCTTTGGCACTCCCTCCTCCTCCCCCTCCTGCTCCTCCTCCGCCTGGTCGTCTGCCCCGCCCGCCTGCGTCCTTGTTTGCTCCGGAAGGGGCCTTGACGATCTGTGCGTTGCCGGAGCACTGTGGAGTGATGATGAAAGAATGCTGCTCGCCGGGCCTGGATGGGAGAAGGGAGGAAGGAAGGAAGGGAGGAAGGAAGGAAGGGAGGGAGGGAGGAAGGAAGGAAGGGAGGAAGGAAGGAAGGGAGGGAGGGAGGGAGGGAGAAGGGGAGGGAGGGAGGGAGGGAGGGAGGGAGGGAGGGAGGGAGGGAGGGAGGGAGGGAGGGAGGGAGGGAGGGAGGGAGGGAGGGAGGGAGGGAGGGAGGAAGGAAGGAAGGAAGAAAGGAAGGAAGGAAGGAAGGAAGGAAGGAAGGAAGGAAGGAAGGAAGGGAGGAAGGGGAGGGTTGGAAACAGGGAGAGAAATGTCTAAGAGATGAGAGAGAGCTTTGACGATCCATGTGTTCCCGAGCACTGTGGCATGATGATGAAGGAGTGCTGCTCGCCCGGCCTGGATGGCGGAGGGAAGAAAGGAAGGAAGAGGAGGGTTGGACGGAGGGAAATAAACGTCTCCAGACTGTGCTCATGCTGATGCATACCCTTGTAGGCCGCACCGCAACTCTTAAGAATCTCCTGAACCCCTCGAGAAACACCCACGACCAACCGACCGCCTCTCCCGCCCTGGCGCCCTCTCCCCGCTTCCTCCCCCTCCCCCTATTCCCCCTACACACGCTGGAAAACAACGACCAAGCCCGCCCACCTGTTGCGTACCGGAGGGGCAGGCCTGGAAGGGCCTCCTTGCTGGATCCGCTCTCGAGGCGGGCGACGTGCACGGGGAGGGACTGCTGCGCACGCACCGCGACTCTAAAGAATCTCCTGGTCCCCTCGAACACAAACTCACGACCCGACTCCCCTGCCCTACCGCCCTCTCCCCCCTTCCTGACCCCCCCTGCTGCAAGAACGCCCGGAAAAACACCGACAAAGACACACGATGGAAAGGGAAAGGATCATGCGTACCGCAGGGGCAGGCCTGGGAGGGCCTCCTTGCTGGAACCACTCTCGAGGCGGGCGACGTGCACGGGGAGGGACTGCTGCAGCGACATGGAGACCGAGGAGCGCGCCTCCAGACTTATGCTGTCCACGTAGAGGATCACGCCCGCTGTTGCTCCCTCGCGTGGCAATATGTTCTGCAGGCGGAGCGGACAGAGGTGGGGGAGGGGTGGAGGGTTGGCACTTGTGCGTGGTGCGACATGGACACGGAGGACCGCGCCTCCAAACTGATGCTGTCCACGTACAGAATCATACCCGCTGTCGCCCCCTCACGCGGGAGAACGTTCTGTGGGAGGAGGGAGACAAGAGGGGTGGCATGCCAAAGGGCGGGGAGGGGGTGGGGGGAGATATGGCACTTGTGGGTTGAAAGAGGAGGTGACTTGACCGTGCCTCCAGACTGATGCTGTCCACGTAGAGAATCACGCCCGCTGTTGTCCCTCATGCTGTCAACCATGACGTATATCACATCCTCATGCCCACACTCTGCTGTGTAGCTCTCCACGCCACGCCCATTGACACGCCTGGAAGTACACACTGGCTGAACATAAGAGACTGGATATCACAAGCACTGACTCACCTCCACCATAACGCAAATCACATCCTCATGCCCGCATTCCGCCGTATAGCTCTCCACACACAGCGGCTGCAGCACCCGTACGCCCTGCACCCACTTCCGCCCCGGCACAAACGGCCCCAGCCGCCCACAATTCCCACTGAATCTCTGCGGCTCTAGAGGCACCCCTCGGAACGATAACAGCCCCTCCCACCCCACCGCGCCCGTCTCATGCGTCCCCCATGCCAACCCGCCTAAAACCGTCCCCCCTCCCACGCCCCCGGCTCCCCCTGCATCGTCTCGGAACGTTGAGGAGGTGCGTTTCTTGGGGGAATTGGACGGGGAATTCCCTGTTGTGGCAGCAGTGCTGACTGCTGCTAGGCCGGAGGAGGAGGAGGAGGAGGCGGAAACGCGCGGGAGGGAGAGAGAGAAGCCAACTGGCGTGCTAGGGGCGACCGAGGGGGTAGGGGGAGCGGCAGAGGCGAAATTGAAAGCGGATGGGGTACCCCAACCAGAGGTGGCGACGGCAGGGAGAGGAATGGCAGGTCTGGCTGCGGCAGCAGGGGACGGAGTGGTGGAGTTGGGAGGAAGGCGCTCCAAGGGGAAGAGCCAGAAGAGCAGATCTTGGGATTCTTCCAAGGACCCTGATACTGCTCCTGCTGCTGCTGCTGCTGCTGCTGCTCCTCCTCCTCCTCCTCCTCCTCCTCCTCCTCCTCCTCCTCCTCCTCCTCCTCCTCCTCCTCCTCCTCCTCCTCCTCCTCCTCCTCCTCCTCCTCCTCCTCCTCCTCCTGCTGCTGCTGCTGCTCCTGCTGTTGCTACACCACGGCCGCCGGCAGCAGCAGCAGGCATGGGAGAGAGGGTTTTCTCGTGGTGTTCCGACCCAGGAGCAGAACCACCATCGGCAGAAGCAGCAGCAGCAGCGTCAGAACCATCACCAGCAGCAGCAGCAGTGCCATCAGCAGCAGCAAGAGCAGGGGCGGGTGGAGGGGCGGAGGGGGGTCCGAAGGGCATGGGGAAGCGCTCGAACTGGCGGATCTCAAGAGTGGCGTCTGGGATGAGGGCTGTGGTGGACACCGCCACTTCCAGCAGCACCTGTTGTGATGCATGGGAGGGGACCAAGGGTGATGTATGGGAGGGGTGAAGATGGATTTGTTTTGTGACGTTTCAGAATGGGATCTCGAGAGTGGCGTCTGGGATGAGGGCTGTGGTGGACACCGCCACTTCCAGCAGCACCTGTTGTGGTGGAAAGGGTGATGAGAGGTAGGAACGTGGGTGATGAAAGTGGAAATGAGAGAGTAAGGAGATGAGGGCTGTGGTGGACACTGGCCACTGCAACTTCCAGCAGCACCTGCCATGATGGATGGGTGATGCAAGGGAGGGGAGCAGCAGCAGCAAGAGCAGGAGCGGGTGGAGGGACGGAGGGGGGTCCGAAGGGCATGGGGAAGCGCTCGAACTGGCGGATCTCGAGAGTGGCGTCTGGGATGAGGGCTGTGGTGGACACCGCCACTTCCAGCAGCACCTGTTGTGATGCATGGGAACATGTATGATGTATGGGAGGGGTGTGCAGGTGATATTAAGTTAGCTTTAAGAAGTGTCGAACTGGGGGATCTCGAGAGTGGCGTCTGGGATGAGGGCTGCGATGGACACTGCGACTTCCAACAGCACCTGTCGTGATGCATGGGAACATGTGTGATGTGATGTATGGGAGGGGTGTGCAGGCGGTAATAGATTCAGTTTGTGGCATCTCAAAACGGTATCTCGAGAGTGGCGTAGGGGATGAGGGCAGTGGAGGACTTGGAAGGAGCAAACAGAGGGAGGCATGGGAGGAATGGGAGGCACGGGAGGCATGGGGGGCATGGGAGACATGGAGGGAAAGGGGGGAAGGGGGGGATGGGGTCAGGGGGGCACGGCGGCATGGGGGGCACGGAAGGCATGGGAGGCATGGGGGGCATGGGGGGCATGGGGGGGCATGGGGGGCATGGGGGGAAGGGGGCGTTGGGGGGCATGGGGCGTTGGGGGGCATGGGGGGCATGGGGGACATGGAGTACGAACCACGACGTCCCCATTGGGTAGGGAGCTGGTGGAGACAACACGCCTGCCCAGCCCTGCTGCTGTGGCGGGGTCGTATCCTGCAATGTCCGCTGGCACCGGCATCACCCCATACGCACTTGGGGACTGCGCTGCTTCCCTCCCCGCCTGCTGCTGCTGCTGCTGCTGGTTAGGTGGCCTGGTGGAGGAAAACGGTTGATGGGGAATGGAGAGAATGGGCAGAACACGGGGAGGAAAGAGGGAGGGAGGTTGGAAAAAGGGGGGATGACGTGAGGAAGAATGGATTGAGGAAGAATGGAGAGGGGGGGTGGGAGGGGTTGAAGGGGGGGAGGGGGGGTGAGGGAGGGGAGAGGGAGCGAGGATGAGTGGAGAGGGAGGAGATGGGTGGACAGGACGAGGCAATTTACCCTTAGGCGACTTTCTACTCGACTCATAACTTACCTTGAAGCGGCTGGGATGGGCTCGCTCAAGTGCACATCGTACAGCGACCGCCGTGCTATCTCCAGCAGCTCGTTCGTCCTCTGCTGCCGCACCTCCCCATCCTCCCTCCCTCCCACGCTCACCCTCCCTCCGCCGCTCAACGCCCCTACCGCACTCAACCCATCTGCAGCTACCACAGCGGATCCCTCGCCTTCCTCTCCTTCCCCACCTCCCTCCATCCCACGATCGGACTCAAGACCTGCCCCTCCCTTGGCTGGGCTCTCGGAGTCTCCCCCTAATCCCGACCGCCCAATCCGCCCCTTCCCCGCGCGCAGCCCCACCCCCCGCCGCGCATCCTCCCCCCACGTCCCCCCACCGCTTCCGCTCACGCCTATCGCCGCTCCCGAGCCTCCGGACGGTATGGACTGGTGGTACGGCTGCTGCCCGTTGCTGTCCCGAGCCTCGCCGGGAAGCTCAGCAAGCGGAGGTTCGGAGAAGGAGGGGTGGGTGAAGGGATCGATAGGGGTCCTGTGAACGACGACCTGCAGCAGCTCCCCCGGAAAGATGAAATCGCGCGTGTAGGGCAGCAGCGCTGACGCGGCGGATAGAGACGAGAGGTCCGTGTTCAGAGACCCTGTAGGGGGAGGTTGTTTGAGGGGTGTGAGGGGTTGTGTGTGGGATGTGGGAGGAGGGGAGTGAGGAAGGGGAGAGGGTGAGGAAGCGATAAGAAGACCTGCAACAGGGAAGATAAAATTGCGCGTGTATGGCAGCAGTGCTGACGCGGTGGATAGAGACGAGAGGTCCGTGCTCAGGGACACTGTGGGATGGTCGTTTGAGTGCATTTAGGGGGAATAACGGTGAGTTGACGTAACATGAAAAGTACGTGAACGGTGGATGACGTGAAGTATTTGTTTTGCCATGTCGTCTTAGCTCCTTAGCCGTCTGGCCGAGCAGTCACCAAGTTAGCTTACGATTTCTAGTGGTCCATCTTACGACGCAATAGCAATTGCCCGAATAAGGGATGGTCATTAGTTGAAACTTCATCTTACCGCGCAAAATAGCCACCCCCCCCTCCGAAGGCGCCACGGGCGCATGGTTTTCCAGCGGCATGCGCGTGCGCACGCGCCGAGCCTCCCCCCCCATGCCCCCCGCGCTTAGCCCGGACATAGCCCCCCCTCCGCCGTAGCTGCTCGAGCGCCCGGCTTGCACCGACCCTCCGCCGCTGTGCTCAATGTCAGGCTCGCTGGAAACGCTAAGGAGCGGGGAGCTGGGACGACGGGAGTTGAGTCCTCCGGCTGGCGAATCGGCGGCGGAATCGGCGGTGGAGGAGAGGAGGGAGGAGGCATCGGTGAAGGAGAGATGGCGCGAGCCGAACATGGCTCAGCCTGGATTGGCGGGGGAGAGCAGGGGGGTGGAGGAGAGGAGAGGAGAGAGGAGAGGAGAGGAGAGAGGAGAGGAGAGGAGAGAGGAGAGGAGAGGAGAGGAGAGGAGAGAGGAGAGGAGAGGAGAGGAGAGGAGAGAGGAGAGGAGAGGAGAGGAGAGGAGAGGAGGGACGTTGGGGTTGGGACCGGGAAAGAGAGGATGGACGGGAACGAGATGAGGAATGGGTCAGAAGAAAACATGGTCGATAAAGGGGGAAATCGGAGATTGAAAGACGGAATCAGATGTGTGCAAGCAGGCTTCGCTTAATCGAAGCTATGGAGAGGAATCATGGGACAATGTCGACGCATTCCCGAACGCAAGGGAGCTACAGTGTGTGTTGCGAGCAATGCCGACAATACGGTAACGAAAGACGCCACGCGACAATAGCAATGCTCCGATAATAAGGAACACAAACGCCGGAGGGGGTAAGCGAGATAAGAAAGGCGATAAACGTCTCTGGAAAAGAGCGACGCAATGGACGCACCTACAAACCCTCACGCCGAGCGATTTTTAATCGACGGCGTGAGCTAGCGAGGTCCGTCCAGATCGCGAAACGAGCGACGACGAACGCAACAAGGGGACGATAATAACGCGGATTACGGTGGAAAGCGGAGAGTGAATCATGGAATGAAGTGCCTTGAGATCAGGCAGCCATTTCGGGGACAGGTAGAAACTGCTGTTGAATCAGCAACAGTCACGGACAGCGAAAAGGTGATGCAGCTGATCCAGCAGATGGATGCTGAGAGGGTCACAGATTGATCAATAACGAGTAGAATCTAAGCGGGTAGAACATGGATTGAAGTACTGGGCCATCAATTTGCATTTATAATAAAGCTGAACTCGGCTTGCTCTTTCAAAGTTCCACACCAGGAGACACCAAATCAGCAGCGACCAATGTGGCACTTTTATCTACAAGAATATCCAGCAGGTCTAAATAATAGCTCTAACAATTGTAAATCACATCGTTGCCTCTTCAAATGGCTTGCCACCCACGGGTACGGAAAACTGCAAAGCAGGGACATAAAATGGTGAAAATAAGCAAGCTGAAATGGTCTGAGATATTGCGTGCGAAATGAAGGACGATACAAATAACCATAAAAAAGGATACTTACTTTTGGGGGTCTTTAAAATTTTAGATGAAATGCTGGATATTTCTCGGGTGGCGTTTAGTCCTGCTATCTTGACACGCCTCACTGCAAGAAGATTGAGCCATGTCCGCATCAGCCACATCCTAGTAAAAATACAGGAAAACTGCAACAGTTCAGCTGCACACCATCAGCCATGGTAGTAAACTCACAGGCTCGTTGGAAGGGGTTAGAGGAGGACTTCGGTCGAGGAATTAATTGCTTTGACGCAGATCCTTGAAGCTTTTGGTACCTGCGGTGCCTCTGAAAACAAGCAATGGGTCCGTATTAGACACAAACGACGAAAAGGTCACATTACATCAAACAATAGAGAAGCAGGACATCTTATCATACCTCTTGTGCCAATGAGTCAAAATGCTGGTCATGCACACCATTCAGCTTGAACGGATCCTGGTCGGTGTTCGTGGGAATGTCTTCCCATTCCACTTCACGTAAATCCTGCTGCAGCTTGGCTGGTGAGCGGACCTTAGGCGACAAGTCGTGTGAGATGGACCCAATTGTGGTCTTAACGTCACAGTTCCATCGCTTGACTGAATCAACCTCAGGACTTTTGCTGGCGATGCTCTCTTTCTTCGCATCCCGTGATAACCAGTCCGAGAAGGAAGTAGATCGGCAGGCCTTGTCCAGAGCCTTGATTGGAAACTTGCTGGGAGACAGACCCCAGTCTGTGGAGGGCCGTCGTGGGCTCGAGTTCAGTCCCAGCTGCTGTGACTTCAAAGTCAGGGAGAGGGCTCGATTCTTTACAAACAGGTCATCATCAGCATCACCACAACAATTCTCCTTGTCAGAATCAAAGCCATCTCGGTTTGGGGAGCTTGGTGGCATCTGTCTCCTGGTGAACCCATCAGGATTCCGCTGAGGGGTACGGTTTCCTCGCTTAAATCGTGGAGACTGCATCGTCCTTCGCGTCTTCGAGCTCGCTGGACGGCGGGAGAGCATTTGAGGTGCCTTACTGTCACGTCCACCAGAGATCAACAGGACCTTATCATGATTGCAACCCTCTTCCTCCGAGAACACCACTGAGGTTTTCCTCTCAAGAGAGCGGGCAGAGGCCGAGCATTTTGGCGAAGCAGCAGGTTTGACGTTGATGTCCCCATCATATCCTGGGTCCGCATCTGGAACTTCAGACCGAGTGTCTTTGTCGTTGGTCCCAGATTCCAAAATGCTCAGGTTCATGGAGAAGTTATCGAATTCAGACAAGGAAGAAGGTGACTTCTCGGCAGAAACTCGTGGAAAGGCCTCGTAAGCTGTCACGCTGAACGATGCCTTGAGATCCCAGGCACCTCCAGTCATACCAACACAGTCCTCGAGAAAACGATTCATCTGCTCACGCTTCCCTTCCTGTGGAAACTCAACTCCAAGTGAAGCCATGGCACCAAGGGACTTCAAACACCTCACTAACTTCTTGAACTGATTCTGTGTCGATGCAAGCGTACAAGCATGCAGTCATCGCCGCTTACACTTGCAGCTGAATCCGGAACCGGAATCCCCTCGTTCAGCCTCGGAAGACCATTCCATACCATCAATAGCGACCCAGGAGGCTCCATCCTGTCAGACCAAGCGGCGAGATTTTCGCGTCTCGGTCATGTCTAGCTTGTGGTTGATGTCGGCAGCCGTAACAGGGCAATGTGACCTGTGTCGAGACTCCCTTTGTCCCTCGAGATTTGCGGGTGAAGCTTTTGAGCGCGGATCGATGTTCTGCAAACTCGTTGACGTCATGTGTTTCGGAGAAATATCAAGCAACCTCAAATATTTCCTTGAAAAGAATTTTCTCGATATTCCTTAGCGCGCCCTGCAACATCGCGTACAGCAGCAGCCGTTGTTCGCCCGTTACTGCTAACGGGACTTCTTCGCGCGCACTGTTTCACCAAACCTCGCACTGCTGGCCCGACCGTGTCGGCCTACGCTTCGGGACTAGCCCGAGCCTCGCTGCTAGCGTAGCACTAGGTAGCTCGCACGCACTGCGTTACCGTTTGCATGTTTCACGTATAAATGTTCGTTCATGCCCTCGCTCACATTTTGTACTCGTTTGACACCTCAGTGCAATTTTCGCTACCTCGATTCATTGCACCCGTAACACTTGGTATTCAGAGCCTCTTTCTCTTCAGACCGCGCATCTCCGCACCCCCAGGAAATCAACTTTTGTTTTTTCACTCGAAGGGACTCACGCAACTTAGCCCCTAGGAGCCGTTGTCCTCGCGTTCTCTCGTAAACGCGTGCAGCCACGACTGCGCCTAGACTAAGCCGAGCCGACGTCCTTCGTAATGGCTGAGCATATCGATGTCGCCACTCTCACGCAGGAGAAATTGAACGAACTGCTGCGGCAAATTCGCAAAAGCTCTGAAGAAATCGCGGCGCTGACAACAGAACGCACATCCCTGCAAAACAACATCGCGAGAGCACAGCAAGCACAATCCCAAACACCTGGCACTCCGATACAGCCCGCACCACAGACATCGCAACACGGAAGCGTGAGGCAACCCGCGAGCGCGGCCAATGATGGCGTCATCCGCCACGACGGAGATGACGACCACAGCACGACACACCCCGACGCCTCCGTTGGAAAACGGGGATCAATGAATTAGCAAGTAGGTGGGTACAAGTAGGAAAACCTAAAAGTGTTGTACCCCATATTGTCTACCCCACTACAGCCTACACAGACTATAGCATAGGAGTTTAACACACCCCCATAGGCAAAGTGGGGGAGAACAAGAGGTCACAAGACCAGTCAAGCAAAGCAAAGCAAGCTCAGGGTGGATCACAACGTCACCACACATTCCGAGCACAAGTTCAAGGCCAGAAGGCCAGTTCACATGCAAGATTATATATAAAGGTAAACAAGCAAGTGCAGGTATAGACAGAGCACAGTACAAGCAAGGTCAAGAAGTGAGCAAGTGTGGCCAAGTAGGCACAAGACCTAGCATCGTACAGAATCGCAGATGATCACAAGGCGGAAGTGCCTTGGTAAAGATATCAGCAGTGTTGGCCTCAGAGGCCACGTAAGCAAGGCGCAACTGACCACGCTGCTGCAGCTCACGAGCAAGGAAGTAGCGAAGAGCAATGTGCTTCGTTCTGTGCTCTAGTCTGTGCTCCCGACACAAGGCCAGCATGGCCTTGTTGTCTACGTACAGAACTGGAGGAGAACGAGACGCCTCTCCTAGGTCAGTCAGCAGATACGTGAGCCAGCGTAACTCCTGTGCAGCCATGGCCCCCGCGTAGATCTCGGCCTCACAGCTGGAGCCGAGAATAGAAGACGAGCGGGTAGACCGCCACGAAACAGAGCCCGAACCAAGGCTGAAGGTGTAACCCTGTGACGACCGCCGCATAGCCTGGTCGTCAGCCCAAGAAGCGTCTGCGTGACCTGTGAGGACCACTCGACGTCGCCCTCCAAGCACTAGCCCCATGCCCGACGTACTGCACAAGTAGCGCAACACCCTCTTCGCTGCAGCCATGTGCTCTGGTCGGTGTCTCCCAGGAGCAACATAGCGTGCCAAGATGCTAAGAGGGTATGCAAGGTCAGGTCGTGTGCAGGTCATCAGGTACATGAGGCAGCCAACAAGCTCTGGGTTCGGGCCACTCGGCTCTACGGACTCATCCGAAGGCAGAGCTGAGAGCGAGTGGCGAGTAGACAGAGGAGTGGCCTGAGGCGAGGAGTACATGAAGCCGAAGCGCTGAAGGACCTGTTGCACCATGTGTGACTGAGTCAGGGTAATGGTGCGGCGTGCTCTGTCCCGGGAGATCTGCAAGCCAAGGTAGCTGCGCAGTTCACCCAGGTCTGTGCACGTGTGTCTCTTCTGCAGCTCGGACTTCACGTAGGCGAGTCCAGCAGTGTCAGCTGTGGCAAAGACCAAGTCGTCGACGTACACGAGGATGTAGAACGGCGGCAGAGAGGTGTCGGTGCGTAGAAACAACGACGGGTCGGCAGTAGAAGGAGCAAACCCAAGAGCCGCAAGTGTAGTCCTCAGTGTGTCGTGCCACTCACGCGGTGGCTGGCGGAGACCGTAGACTGGCCGCCGGAGGCTCCACTGGGTACCAGGAGGAAAAGACCTAGTGAAGCCAGGTGGGCGACGCAGCCAGATCTCCTCGTGCAGGCTGCCCTGCAAGAAAGCTGTGCTGAAGTCAAAAGAGTGCAGCTCATAGTCACGGTGAGCAGCTATGTGTAGCAGTACCCGAAGAGTGGTCATCTTCGGGGTGGGAGAGAAGGTCTGAAAGTAGTCAACTCCCTGCCGCTGACTGAAGCCACGAGCCACGTAGCGCGCCTTGAAGACAGGCGGAGAACCCGGCGGCCGCTTCACTCTGAAAATCCACATGCCACTGACGATGTTCGCCCCAAGCGGGGGAACCTCGTCAATGTAGGTGCCTGTGGACTTCCAGGAAGCCATCTCTGCGTCCATAGCTGCCTGCCACTGAGAGGAGTAGGGACCCTGTATCGCCTCCGCGTAAGAGCGTGGAATCGGGATGTCAAGTGCATCTGGGTCTCCCTCAGGGGTAAGCAGTACGGACACGAGATGAGGTGAAGCAGCAGCCAGACACTGGAACTCCTCCTGCCTCTCCTCAAGGACGTCCGTGCCAAGGGCACACTCACCCCCGACGGATGGAGGACAGACAGACGCAGACTCAGCAACAAGACTAGCAGCGTAGTTTAGACGACAGCGAGCAGCAAAGTCGACGAGCTCAGCAACTAGGGCAGACGCAGTAGCAGACTCAAAGGAAGGGTCAGTGACGACAGTAGCAAGGAGACACGTTATAGTAGGACTTTCAGCACGAAGAGAGTCCGAGTCCTGGTCGGCAAGAGCAGTAAGAGAGGACTCAGGAGGAGAAGGCAAAGGGGCACGCAGAGGAGCAGTGGACGGACGCAGAGACATCCGGTGCGTGCCAGGGACAGTAGGAGGACGCTGACGTGAACCGCGACCACTAGCGCGAGCAGCACGGACAGGCGACGTAGGGCGAGACGCAGGCTCACGACGCTCAGCAAGACCTCCAGTAGGACCAGTGTAGGGAGAAGGAGCAGGCAGTGGGGAGGCCGGCTGTAACTGTAACTGTGACAAACAGGCTGTGGACACTCTAAGGGAGGAGGAGGACCAGTAGAAGGCGGGAGCCCAAGAACCTGCTGTAGGAGCGGAACGAAGTACGGCCGAGGCCACGCGGCGACTCTAGACACAGCAGGGAAAGCACGAGCACCCCTAGCGGCAGCACCAGCGCCAACAGCACCTCCAGCTCCAGTACCTCTAGCAGTTCCAGTAGCACCCCCAGTAGGACTGCCTCCAGGACCGACAGCAGTAACCTCAGCGCCAACACCCACAGCAGCTCCAACTCCAGACGTACCCGCAGGCCCAACAGCTCGAGTACTCCCAGTACGAGCACCTCCGGGACCCGCGGCACCAGCACCCTCAGCAGCCGAAGAAACTCCAGCTCCAGCAGCACGCCTCCACCGCCGGGCAAACCACTCGCGCAGCTCCTGTGGAGAGAGTGGCTCCCGCCGAGATGAAGCACCCGGAGAAACTCCACGCCCAGCACCGCCAGATGCCACACGAGCAGGCCCAGTTCCCGCAGGCTCCTCACCCCCAGGCTCAGCACCTCCAGACGTGGCACCCCCAGGCTCAGCACCTCCAGACGTAGCACCCCCAGGCTCAACACCCCCAGGCGTAGTACCCCCACGCTCAGCACCCCCAGGCTCAGCACCCCCAGTCTCAGCACCCACAGTAGTAGCACCCGTAGGCTCAGCACTCGTAGGCTCAGGACTTGCAGGCATAGCACCCACACGCTCAACACCCCTAGAGTTAGTACCCCCAGGCTCAGCACCCTCAGCAGCACCAGAGTCACCAGTAACCTCGACAGGCTCGACTCCGTCTACCTGGGACACACCTGAAGGGGCAGGACCCTGAGGGGGGAGGGGG